TAGATATGTAGGCGTGACGGATATTGTTATTTATTTAGAAATATTCATATAGATTAAAAAGAAGTCCTTGTGATTTGCGTGGTAGCGTGCTTTTCTGTTAAACTTAGGGACACATGAGACAGTCAAGATTAAAGATCGGGCGTAGACACGCTTCATGTCGTGCTTGAAAGATCAAATCGCTTCTATTATTTTCAAACGCAGAAGGCGAGAAGCCTCAGACGTATTTCATAAGATACCTGTATATTACTAATATCGTAATAACGGAAACAGATGTATTGTGTTTCTATGAAAAGCCTAACAGTTATCGTCGATTTATCTAGAAACGATACATCATGGAATGAAGTGCTAACACAAATAGGAGCTACAAGGATTGTGTTATGTTCAAGCTATATGATAATTCTGAATAATCTGACCAATTGACAGTTTGATAGACTTGACTGGAAGGAATATCAACGTTTGCTTTCTATATATTATTTAGCTATTTTTTTCGCGTCCTGATCAATTTTACCAGAGCTTTCCTTATGCCGTGCGTTCTTGACATTGAAAGAGATTTGTCCCAAATAATTCGTAAAGAGGTAGTTTTTTTATTCAGTAGGTATTACTCGTACTCGTGATAGCTTTATTTTGTTTGCATGTTGTTGTTAGGGGCACATGGTGGGTGGTCTGGGTTTGAACCCGAGCGTAAACAGACTTTGTTATTTACGAAGGGTTTATTTTTCCACCTCAGTTGTTTAGGGTAACCATTCCAAATTTGTCCGTGCACTGTTACCCTGAATGTTACGTTTCCCAATTTCCTGTGAATTATACCTGGTATCTAGTTTAGATGCTTTGGACAACGAAAAGTTTTGCTTGTACATTTCCGCCATTATAAAACTTCTATCGATCGCTTCACGTGGGATTTGGTAGTGGAAGTATTCTTTTCAGTCAGTTTTTGGTCTTTCTCTCCGGACAATAAAAGATTTAAGGTCTTTTTTGTCCAATAGACGTTTCAGCTGGACTCGTACCCGTGGGGTTCAGGAGGCTCGGTACGACGTCAAAACAGAATCAGTAGAGGATTGTGACCCTCGTACTGATCTTCCGCTCATCGCAATTCTTCATTGTTTCTGTTAAATATGTTGACAAGTAATTCGGCGTATCCGTTTGATAGGGTGTGGTACAGAGCGATTCGAATAGTTCATCGTAAACAATTCTGTGTAAGCATATGTGCAGTGATCTATCGTTGCTAATAAGCGTATTGCGGTGATTCTATTTGGGCAACTGTGCAAACTAGTTTCGAAACCCAGATTTTCGATCACACATCGAAAAGGCGAAAAAAATTATCTAAAAACCACTAGAGATATTTTTTTGCTTCCTATAAGGCCCGCGCATAATTACGACATTCTCGGTCAGATGTTCTGCCAGCGATGGGTCATTTTTCCACTGGTACTCTTGAGGTGGTTAGTTTTACAACTGAATCTCGCTCTTACGGTTGGGACATGGTCGAACCATGTGTTCAATACTATAATCTATACCTGACCAATGCATGATGCACTATTTACTTGAACTTCATAATAGCTAGCCTCCAATGTCGGGTTCTTCCAATTCTTTTTTGTATCACGATGCGGTTATTTAATATGACCCATATCCTCTAAACTTATAAAGAATTGCGTCGACTGTCGAAACAAAGTATCGTCGTCGTCGTCTGTATTTGTAGCCATTTTTTGTTTCCTATGTATCTAACCATCTTCGGAGGAGTCACTTTGCTCCGTGTCGTGTGGCTTGTGATAATGTCGGTAGACGATACGTTGTTTCAGGAAATGGAATATTTGAATTTTTCTCGATCACTCCTTTTTCTTAGATATATGAGGCGACAAAGCACCCGCGTTGCCAGTGCTCGCTAGCACTTTATTTATCCCGCACCACAAAATGGGTGTCCTAACCTTGCTAGAGTCAGACACGTGGTTTCTGACCAATTATGGTCAGGAGTGGTTTATGGTCTATTTAGGTACGCTGTATTCTGTAAGTATATTTCGGGAATCGTTTCCACACAAATGCTGAGTTTTATTTACTATTTGCGTTTATTTATAATCGCTTATTTCGACAACTGTCGGGCGCGCTAATGATGTATTGATAACAGTGTGAAATTATTGCTACAACCCCATTATAACTGACCCTAGCAGCTCCAACTACAAGAAAGGAAAGATCGGTACGAATTAAATTTGAGTCGGACTGTTTTTTTTTTATTTATTTATTTACTTTTTTTCCCGCTTCATCAACTGAATCTTTATACTTGGCGAACTGTACTTTTTAACCCAGGACCTCAATATGTTTCCAGCTCTTTCACAGAGGCAGAGGAGGCCTAATAATTCTAGAACATTCGTGGGTGGGGACATTTTTTTTTAGGCTAATTTCGAACTTGTTGCATTCATTCGTCATACTAAAACCTGAGTATACGATTGGCATCGAATGAACTTTTCATACCTTAAACTTCGAATCGGGTCCAAGATGTTTGATTTGTGTGAATAACCTCTTGAGTCTGTTGACAAGACAAGCTTTTGTTGCGGCATCGTTAGATGGACTGATACTCGTGTCGAACTCGTAACATCGAGATTGAAAGAAGAGATCAAATAAATGTCGGGCACGCAAATGTAGACCTTTAAGTGTATGTATTAATGACAGTACTTTGTATGTTTCGACTTTTGAATAAACGTTCGGAAGGTCTACGACAAAAGCAATTTTTCGTCATTCAAAGTAGTAAAAAAAATCTAATTTGACGGGGGTACTAAGTAATTTTACAAAGTTCCCTTGTAGGTCCATCAAAAGATCCGCACACGACCTCTTCTCATTTAGCCTTTGCCGTATTATCATCACTGCAGCCGTAAATTAAACAGTAGATGTATCCTTACCCTAAACTCGAGTGCCATAAAATTGTTCTAATTTACGTTTTGGTTTTCGGATATGAAACCGAGACTTTTAAAAAGATTTTTTTGAACTCCCGGTTCAAGTCGAGAAAGAAGTCTTTGTTTAGATATATTTTACTAGACTACTAAACAACGGGTATGTATATATATATATATACAACATCCCCTTAAGGCAATTGCTCAAGGGAATGCTATAAAAGGTCAATTTATTTTCTCAACTATTTTCTCTATTAGATTTCCCACTATTCTTCGCCATAGCTTACTTCATTTCACACATTCCTCGTAATAATATATTGTGTTTAACAATACCCCATTAATGCGAGGCTGTTTTGGCGTATAGCCTCTTTGAAGTAAGCGTTTACTAATTACAACCTGAAGGCTCCACAGTTTTCTCTAAACATTCTATCAATAATAGTAATTATAGCATCTGATTCGAGATCATACCTATGATTTAAGTTGTAAGTAAACAATTAATTCTGTTGTCAGACTTCGCCAGAGTATCTACTAGATTGTGTTTAATATACTCAACGTCTGCAGAGTCTTCGAAGTTTTCAGATTCGAAATAGGCTGTCCTAATTATACATTAAGAGATGCAAGGTTACGGCTACTAGTATCTAGTTTTCTAGTATCTAGGCTACTAGTTTTCACATTAGTAGATGATGCCTCGGATGCTTGGCATGAAATTTTGTATCTTTTTCCTCTTGATATTGAGTAGACAATAAATTTTCAAGTGTAAACCATCGTGACCTTTGCAAGTTATGGGAGATTTATCACAACCTTTATGCTTTCTCAGTTTGGTTTGGAGCAGCGATTTATATTTGACGAAATGGTTTTCAATAGAATGTTTTACGTGCGCGTTTAATAGTGTACATGTAGCATCGGCATAGTAAATCTAAATATTTTAAGCTACTTGAGCTATATTTTTATGTTGCAATTTTTCTAAGCCACATGTCTGAATAACACGTTCTACGCACTTTTCCGTCATGGTCTCATAACTCACAACGACAGTGGACTTTACACGTATAGTCAGCGTACTATTCAAACAACGTCTACACTTTGCACCAACGGAAACGCTGCGCCGAAAATTCATCTACAAATCTTGACTAAACAGCTTCTTTCGGTACGTCACAATTCCGGCAGGACTCATCTGGCCCAGGGTCTAGCAGCAATATGGGAACACTGTGCCTGTCAAAACAAAATTAGTTAAGAAATTATATGATAAAGTGGGCTTTGCCTTCGCCAAATAGATCCGCTTCCTCATTATGTCCATCGTTCCCTATTATGTCCATTCGTAGGGTCACATAAAACTATTAGTGCATTAGATTCTGTATTACATTTACGATGACCCCGTCTGATTTTGTATTGGCGTGGTCAATAACGTCTGTTGCTTTCGAACGAATAAGAGTAGTTCCTCGAGCTGGAGTTGAATCAGCAGCAATAACTGTAGTTAGTACGTACAAACAACATTATTCTTAGATGGGTATTGAAAGATACTGCCTAAGATTAGTCAACGAGGGCAACGCATCGTGCGATTAATGCGAATCCTAGGAAAACTGTATCCATCTCTCCCGTCTAGCCTAGATTAGGGAAAATTTCCCTGGCAAGAAGGTAACAACCGACCATCGTTGCCAATGAGGGGCTTGGTTAATGCTCATGACTATCAATTGTTATCACCTACAAAGTTTTGATGGTTATATTCTCACGTTGCGCATGCTGTTTCGCTTGTTAGAGAATTTCTGTTTAAGGTTTGAATGCTTCCTAATACAGGAGCAGTAAACAAGCAAACCAATCTAATATTTAAATGGGTTCGTCCCAATCAACCGAGAATAAACTACATAGGTAAGTGTATAAACGGTTAAATCACTAAGGTCATTACGTATTTTCGTGCCGTTGCTCCTACTTGTGCCTAGGCTGCCAACACACAACTCAAACCACCTATCGTCAACTGAAGGTTTGACGAAATATAAGCCCCTTCAATGTTACCTAGCGCATTGTCATTATTATCAGAATCTCTCAACCTTGCGAAACGCGTCACAGGTTGAACGCGTTTGCTAAACGTTGACCCTTCGAAATTTGGTATCCTCTGCTCTGAGCTTTCAGAAGTGGCTGGGAAGCTTGCTGGCTATGTGCGGTCAAGATGTCCCTCTTTTTAACGATGGGTCGCGAGATTCGGACGCCGACGATGCGATACATAAGAAATATTAGGTGCGCTTTTCCAGACCAGACCCCAGTGATTGCTATCGCCGCGTTAGTCGTTGGCACTGTACAGTCAGCAACAACTTCAAATGGTGTAACCGCACCGGTTAAGGAAATGCCATACCATGGTAAGTACGCAGACCTTTCACGAACTGGGAGATTTATTTATATCTAGCTCTCTCTATATAGCTACGATTTCGGCACGCCCCACCCAATAGCATTTGATTAGACTGTAACATTTTACCTAGGAAGTTTTCATTTATAAAAGATGGCTTGCAAAACGACCAGTCTCTTTGTAGCAGATTATTGATATCTAACATTTCCCATTAATATGATAAGGCTCTTAACTTACAAGTGCAGTGTTAAAACAACATCGCCTTGCTTGCGTTTGGTGACCCGGTCAAAAAAAGTATAGTACTAGTTCGGGTCTTGAATCATCCAATGCGAGTTTTACAGCCGATTCAATTCCACGATTTAGTAACGGTACGGCCATGTTAACTTATTTCCACATCCAGCTGGACCGTTCAAGCGATCAACTTGACTATATTCATGCAGAAATACATTAAAATAGACACACTACGAAATCATTGCAGCTATAATAATCAATGAAGAACTGTTTCAAGAGTAGAAGACTAGAAGAATCGGGGATGTAAATATGTAATCGTGTTGGCTAATCCAACTTTTGTGGCCAACAGCGTTAATTTGTTTTTAACTTTCATTGTGTGCATAAATGATTGTGTACTGAAAGCTTGTAACTGCTCGTTTAGTTATACGAAAATACTGAAAATTGTGTAAATATTCAATAAGGTAAATATTCATACTGCTACACGAGATAAGTTCTCCCCATTCTGTCTTCAAGCCGCTTCAATCAACTGTCCCACATTGTATCTCCTGTGTCTGTTCCGCCCATGTACATAGTAAAAATATTAATTTTAATTTCAGCCTTGCATTTAAATTGTTTCTGATGAGGCTCTTAAAGACGCTTCTTCCGCAGCCATCCAACTTGTCAGGGCTATTGTCTTTCGTTCTACCTTTCTACCGCCTCGTCTCCCGGCAGTTGTTTTTTATTTCGAGCAAAAACATCGAAGTAATAGAGTATCGACAAGTTTCGTGAAGAAAAATAAAGACAACTAATGAAATGTCTTTGATACACGGACTTTTAGCAACCGTTGCGATCACACCAGACCTATTTCTTGCTATTGTCTGCATATGAACTTCGTCAAACTGTAGTAAAATGAGCAAATCTACAAATAGAGATAAACGATTTAAGCGACATTAAAGTAAACAATTTAAAACACAACGTTCTATTACCTAGAGCTTGAATAGTTTCCAATCATTGTCAATCAAAAATCACTGCCAACTTTGACTGTAGAGTGAGAACTTTATCTTGAAGGACTTCAATGTTGCCCACTATGATATTAGCTGCAATTCTAACTTTAAGATGTTCGTATAGATTTCATTTGAGCATCACCCATCCCGTGTTTGTTCCATACATACATACATACATACACGTGAAGCAACACTGTAACTGTTTTTGTAACTGAACCGAAGAAGAAGCTTAAAATAATTATAATTGAGCTTTTTTTAGAGATTGTGCATTTCGTTATATTATGAGCCTTTCTGTACCCTAAAGATAGAGCTCAGGTCGCGATAGGGCCGGCTACGTGCATTCCGGTCCTTCGGCATGGTGATTGACTGCCGTTTATCCAAGGCTATCTGCTGCCCTAGAATTTGCGCGTAAAATGCGAACGAAGAAAGAATAAATATCTAAATCTCGAGCGTAGCATAGAAGTATAATTTCAAGTGTACCCTCACACGTCCCATAAATCTATTGCATATCATTCACAGCCGATATTTTCGAGAAACAGGGTTCATCTGCAACAATTTTTGTTACAAGGGCGCTTCTCCGGAACTCCTCGGGATGCTTCTGATGACAAACGTTGACGCCATCTAAACTCGTGACAAATTTGACACGAAGCTTGATTTCGTACAGGAGTGATTGATAATCATCGGCAGGAACTAGTAAAGCTCCCTCTCTGTATAGTCAAACGGGATCAATAGGAGCAGCGAGTATCGATAGGTGTCGCACAAGGAGAAATACTCATTTTACGACGTCGTTCACCGCAGTGGCCGCAGAGTCACCGATGAGCTGTTCTAACTTTCATTGCATAAAACGGAACATCGAATCTACAGCATCGATCCGACCTATGCAATTATTAATCGTACTCGTTATTGATCTAAACAATATTGGGTATTCGAACGTCGGAAAGTACGCCAACAGTCAAACGAAGTCTGTCGAAATATACGATTTATGCTTGCGGTCTGCTGGAACAGTCATAGATGCAATCGTTCAGGCTAGTAATCAATCACAAATTAAGCTGACATAACCGATATTCTTTGTTCCAGTATTTATAGGCCTATCTTCCGGTTGATTTGTTCTAAGTCGAGTCATACGAGACGTCGAATTATATCGAAAGTCCGAGGGCGCTTCAGGCGTTAGCAGCGGGAAGAATACCTGGATACGTGTACTCTGTACTCGAGAGAAAATCAGCCAATATCCGCAATGCGTTACCATAACAGTAGCTTTGATCTTCGATCACGTGCGTCCAGTGATCATAGAATGAAGTAGCGGCTTAATATACTGGTGCCATCGAAGGATCTGTTTGGTCCCGGCAACGAAGAATGCATGGCTACACGATGTACAGCTGATTCGGCACCGTTAGAACGAACCTAGAGGTCATGTGAAGGCTACTCAGAGGCACAGTAGGAAATATCTTGAAAATGACGTTTTTAGAAATAGTAATTTTTAAAATTACAAGTGAACATGTCCGAGATACACATTACGCCAATACCAACTCGTAGTTTTATGTGCTATTTGATCTCTTTTCGAACACTAGAGATCGTTGTTGTACAACATTGACGTTTCGTTAAGTGTATTGAATAAGATACGCGACATTTTAACAGAATGATTAATGTTCTCGTGTTAAAACTTGTCCTGGTTCATTGCGGATTGAAAACAGAACACGTGTGTACACGGCGTCATTTACATAGAATGACATTGTTAGACCTTGCCTTCCTGCGATTAACGTAGAGATATATTTTCAAATTTTTGTTAATATACACATAATGTATACAGCGCCGCCTTTTAAAAATTACTAGATTTCAATGACCTTTAATGTTATCACTGCCCAAAAGCTACAATGCTATCGAGAGGTTGAACAGCTTCATAATTATCAGTAATTGATCTGTGAAATTAATGATCCGTGCAAATTGATCAGCAATCTCTGCACGATACTATGATTTATACATGGATAAAATGGCTCATTGAAATACTTATTTTTTAGGTACAGACAGTTGGACTTGGTGTCCATTCAACGTGCACTATATTCAACAGATGGAGACGTACGCGAAAGCTGATGAGAGATGCAGACGAGCGGGGGGTTCGCTTCCCAGGCGAAGTCTCGATCAGATAATATGTCTTGTTCGATTCTTTGATGATAGCGGACAGCCCGAACTGGCATCGCACTTTTCTGGTGGGGAAAAGAGTAACATTAGGAAGCATCTAGATGAGTAAGTAGAGTGAAGTTGATTTGACTAAGCGAACAGAATATTACCTCATTATTTTCTATTTGTACGGCCACATTGACTCACTGATCCAGACTATTTCAGGCCATTTTTTAGCCCTTTTAATTTAGGCTAAACGAGGCAAGGATCCCTTGGCATCTTAAGCTGAAAACTAGTTACACGAACTATATACGTAAACAGAGCTTGAACGTTGCACGTAAATCTCTGAGAGAGTCCCTGCAAATAGATGGTTTTTTCAATGGTACCATGTTAACATTGAGCTCTGCCTCAAGACAATACCAACTGCTTTATGACAGATATAACCCAGAAAAATGAGTGAATTGCTGATAGCAACTGTTGCACAGGAGACACCTAACTTTATCGTTCGATGTCTAACTGAAATAAGCTTAGCGAATATAAATTGTACGCAATATCGACCAAATAATGTAATAAAAAAAAAATTTATTTATACCCACTTATTTGGCTTTAGGATAGTTTTAAAAATGATATAGATCCATCAAGGCACTTTTGTCCCGTTCTGTTCCCGTATGTACACATATCGAATCAAATAAAGCTACCTAAAAATCTCACGCATTGTTATGTCTGATCGAAGCGTTTTCTGCACCCGGACTAATGAAAAAAAACACGAAAGTTCCTCATCTGAAAGCTGACCCTCTCTGTTTTCTAATGGTGTCACTATATAGCGACACTCTAACTGCTACACACGTTTTGCAAAACAAAAACTGTTCACTACGACGTCTATGAATATCGTAGCTACTGCGTACAAGTTAGATAGAAACTTGATTTCGTCTTCTTGTATCCAAGGTTATATATACATATATTGTATACAGCGCCGTTACTACTTATCCGATCACAACGACGTTGTTGTGATCATTTTCTTCGTAATTATACGTGAGCTCGTATAGAAATTTCTAAAGAACAAAAAAATCACGGAAAAGCAGCGGACTCCGATGGCTAGAATAACAATCGCGACGAGGGTATTGAGTGGGTTGGAATATCGACGTATGTAGTTACCGACGTAATCCACGAGGGGAAGACTTTAGGTATATCTGTCATCGAGAACAATAGGAGAGATGGGAGACGGGGTCATCCTGAAGACGCAACAAAAACACGAACTTGTAACACGGTCTCAACTACGTTCCCTTCCTATCCTTCGACATCGTATCGAAATAGGTAATCATCTTTGCTATAATCTAGCTAAAAATATCCGCTAGATTCTCCACGCGCTTTACAAATGGGCTAGGTAGCTCTAAGATGCTTTTCAGTTAGATCGCATTTCGAGTAGTGATGCTCAACACGTTTTCGGCCGAAGGATTTATGTGTAACCCAACAAGTCGAACGCCCAAACTAAATGACTGTGTGGGCCGTAATTTGTATTTACGCTGAAAGAGCCCTACATATTTGAGAACGATAATAGAATGAGGTCATTTTGACAAACCAATTCCTGAGACTGGCCCCGCATGACAAGTCACCATGCCCTATGGCAGTGTGTCTTAAATGCTTACCGCTGATGGCGTTGACATTCTGCTATGGCCTGGATCATTCGTACGACTTGAATCCGAAACATATGGCATTATGCCAAAGGCTGAGTCGAAGCGGAACAGGAGATCACTTACATTCTACAACATGAGAATACAATGCTACAAATGTGGGCCTAGGACTTGGGCGCTACGGAGATGCCGCACTGAGTTGTAGCAGTAATCCAGGCGGACGTTGAGATACCAAATACGGGCCTCAGTAAGTGCTTTCCCTTCCACAGCTGTTTAAGAATACTGTTCAATCTTGTTACATACATTATTATCAAAAAACAGAGCGCGCCGGCTTTCGCGTAAACAAAGACCGTGCGCATATGTTTAGTTTAGATGCGAAACGGTCATCGTATACATCTGTACATACAATTCTGCACGAATATCACGTTTTAGAGAACCAGTACTTAATTCTAAGCTAAAGTGTCTTGATATTTGAATGCAAAAGTTCCTATGGTGACGTAGGGGCATTTAGTTATTTAGTAAATAGGTTAGTGTATTAAAATCATCTTAAAATAACGCCAATTTGACGTTGCTGAGAGTCATTACAAGCAAAAGGTCATCATTCTGAGTTATTCTAATTTTGCCTTCGTAGATTTGAGATAATTGTATTGTGGAACCCTAGAAACGTATGTTACATTGTTAATGTAAAACTAAGATTTCCTGTTGTTTATGGGAGACGCTTTCTGCAGCTCGGTTCAGAGTGAACTCTAATGGTGCTGGATATTATCTCGACAATGTAATCCGCTTATAGAGAATATCGTTCGTGCAATCCATCTGACGTGGTTTCGAAGGAGCAGCATGGCAAACCATTCTATAAGTCTCCATTTCACATTTCAGACTCGATCGCATTTGGTTTTTGCACGATAACGAACATAAGCAGCATGTCAAGCGGACCTCAAGCGATGAGAAGAGGCAGGTTGCATGCACCACCCCAGGTGCGTTGTGTTTCTTTATTCACGAATCTCTAAAACCCAAAAAATATTTGTTTACAATGATCTCTTCTACAAAAAATAGTCTAGATTTTACGAATTAGCAAAAAAATACACGGTCCATTCATATGAGCGAACCTTTATCGAAAAGTATATTTCCTGAACAGTTTCTTCTACAAACTACTATTGAAATCTAAAACTTGAAAACCCTCTATTGCAAAATTGAGTCTCGCCTCTACAAAGCATTTTTCATCACTGAGGTTTGAAGGCAAAGAAGCTAATTACGAATGTTCTGCAAACTTAGGTAAGCAAACTTCTTACCAACATTATTTTCACAAATAAGTATATCTCATTGTGTGTTTATCCGCTAATTTTTTTTAATATGAAGTGGAAGCAGAATAAAGCATGTATACATATATCAGCCGGGCCTGGATGTCTAGGTCAGGATGACTACGAATTAAATTTCATGAAGAAACTGCTATGGGAACGTATGTAGTTTCGATACAAAGCATTAAACCCTGGAGTATCAAGGCCCCGAAAACATATGTTCGAATCTATCCGAAGTATGAAACCATAAGCCACCACCTAATAGCAGTACTGCAATTGCCACACATGATCATAGCGCGAAAGGGGAACGTTGAAGTTACAAAATGAAGACTTTTATTATGAAATGAAATGACACAGTAATATTTGATGAAATTTTTCGATGTTTATGGATACGGAGATGTCTCGACCACGTGAGTTGCCTTATGCTGCAGTCGCTGAAACTGAATGGAACTTTCAGACTTTACGTATGGTATTGCCATTGAGCATCTCTTTCTGAGGCTGGTTCCCATCATAAAACGGACTGCGTTTGCATTCGCCGCGTGTCCGTAAACCGAATAGGCTACCGCTGTACTTACGATGAAGACTGAAGACGCATATTTTTTTAAGGGGTTAAAAGCTAACACATTACGCAGCCAAGATTTCACTGCTCAAGTTTTATCTCGTATTATCTCATCAAACCCTAGACCAATACAAATTCTACTGTTACTTCGAGGCGAAAGTTCTAACTGCAGTTGACTAATTGAACTGTGTGACAAAAGTTGTGCTCATTTCTTTCCAATCGCGATGCGGTTATGGAAACAAATTTGTTTGCCATGTCAAATATCGCGTACCAAAGTTATTAAATAGTATCGGATCGTCGCTTAAGTTCAGTCCGGAACTGTATTTAAGTTTGAATAAGAACCCTTTTTTTGCCCGGATAATTTCAATCAGTGATGTATTGGCCGTTATCAATGATAACCCCTGCCCATTATTCAGGCTGTATTCCAATTCCATTTTGACGAAAGTGGGCGTATTAATTTGTGATAAACTGATCAGTATAGTGCTCTTTCTAAAGATACAAGGTTCCTTCCATTAAAGTAGTACTGCGAGCTTTGCAAATGATAACAATCAGAAAAAGCAAGGTCGGGACTATAAGATGGGTGAGATCAATCAACCTATTTAATGTTTTTACAGAATTTTATTTCGAAAAAAGCACTTTTTGAACCTTCTTTTAGGCAAAAATTCACAATTTCTAACGGGTCTCTAAAGATGTGTGAGACACTTCGTTGGCAAGATGAAACATTACTTTCCCACTTTTCGCTATATCTGGGCGCTTTTCTTCGATTCCTGGCCTTACACAGTCGAGCTGTTCAGTTTTGGACCAAGCTAACGTCTTGGGTGTTTAAGAAAAGCAGCCCCACCAGACGGAGCGTACTACCTTCTTTGAATAGAGTCCGGCCTTAGTTCTTGTTTGAAAGGTACTTGCCCGTTTTTGATGCCGCACGGTGATCTACTTTGGGTGACCTTACCATAGACAGTTCACTTTTTATTTCCGCCCGCCCTATCTACGCAAGAAAGGGATTATCTCGTTTTAATTTTGGATGATGATTGGCCGTACAAACACGACTCATTAGCTGGTGAGCGGTCCGTTCATGAGGAATCCAAATGTTGTTCCGATTCACGTAATTTCAGCTCGTAGATATTTTTGAAGAGTTCGCCAGCAACAACTCTGGGCCATTCGGGTCCTGATTGATTTCAGTGAAAATTTCAACATCCTCATAATGAGAGGATCGACATGGATATGCCTTATTTTCAATAGATTTTGAACAAGCGACCCAATTGCTGACCCTGATTACGACACTGGGTCTATGTATCGCACAGATTTTCTCACGAGTTCGGGTTGCACTCAATTTTTTTTAAGAAGCAAAGCTTTGAAGAGAATACACTTCTGACATCACCGTCTTTGCAAGTTTATACAGCTTCACTTAAATGTGTAACTGAATGGAACATGGCGCAGAAGGGCGACCCAAGATAGCTCTATAGATAGCACGAGCAAACGCGTCTTCTTGCTTGCCTAATTTTGTCTGTGACGCCAAGATTTGAAACGCTTCGAAGTCTAGAACGAACCCATAGAACGACGGAATAATTTATTGGGCAAGATTTAAATAGGCAGTTCTCGAAGTAACAGTAAATATCACCACTGCATATACTTGCGTATGTTCTATTCAGACTAGACCAATGTACTATTACGTTTTAACATTTCATTTGTTCTTTGTTTATAAATCTTCATTTTAGTCTCATCTAAACCGGGCGCCTGTAATTTTTCGGTAATCGTTCACTACGATCTGCTCTCTTTTGTCAATGCGCAGAACCGATGTGCTGGCAACAATTCTAGACTACCTTTTCGAGCAGCGAAGGTTTGTGATTTTATCCATTCGATGTATTTAATTTATGTCAGGTATTTGCATTGCTATTGTTACTATGGGACAGGATAATCTTTTTTATGTTCGATCGTATATGCTTCCAATACGCACAAAAATAGGTCAGTCGTAACCCACGTAAATTAATTAATCTGCAACAGATAAAGCGGACAGTTGTCACATAATTTAGTTGTACGGTAATAGTAGCTCGTGGGAAAGTAGAATGCGCTATTTCCGTTCGGGATTCAGTTCGAGCGATCTATCAATGATTAGTGTGTTAGAAATAAATAGGATGCCTCGAATTTCAGGACGAAGTTCAGTGCTTTAAGGACCACTTCCCGGATATCAACTTGACGTGGTTTGAGGGTCGAAGACCTGATCTCTTTGAGACTCGGTAGGTATGGCTGGTTGTTGCATTGCGTTTTTCCTTACATTTTTTTAAAAAGCCATTTCCTTCCGGTTTGATTAATGAGTGGTACACTAGACAACTTTAACTGAGCTGAAAGTTTGTTTCTGCCCATAATCTTGAACAACACCATTCATTCTAGGATGATAATCGTATTATAATCAACCTGACCGGCATCTCCTATAGGAAAGTGGTCTATTGGGTACAAAATGTCAGCCAGGAACGAACGAGTCGGTACACGCGCGTCGACAATGCACAGGCTTATGCATTTTTTTAATGTATGAATGATGCGGAAAGATAGAGCTTTCCGAAAATGAAGTAGTACCCTATTTTAAGATCGTAAAATTATGATCCATTAGAAAAAAAGTTTTATGACCTTTTTTTTTTGATTTACTAGTGACTTCATCGCAATATTTTTCTTTTTAAATTTGGATAGGTCGGGTGATCGCTGCTCATTGAGTAATCCCTCTTTGGAAAAATCATGCCCCGAAGATCTTCGTTTTATATGCATCTCGCAGAGGTGGAAGCCCGACCCTAGTGTACCGCAATTTCCTATCGTACAAGGTACATGATCTATTTAATTGATTTACAACGTATCGAATATGGACATATTTGCGACGCCGATCTGATTTTGCAATAGCAATATTGTTACTGTAGATCCCTCAACATTGTTTCAAATTTGCTTAGAAAGAAAAGAAAAAAAGAGCTATTCAGCAAACTTCTATCAGCCATCCTATATATATATATATATCCATCGAGCCTTCATTGTATGCTTGAGATTTATACCGACTTCATGTTATATACTTAATTGACTACTATATATGTAGCCTACAGTGTTTCTATTAGTGGTCACAACATTTCCTACCTGACTGACAACAAGAATGGTTGCAAGCGTATAAAATGATCGCTTTCTACTCGTGACCATTGCAGAGACAGTGACCAGTGTGAATGATGATGACAAGACTAACAAGTTTGCTACTATCGAAAAGGAACAGCGCTCAAGCTACGAACAGCTCGATCCTTTTGATGAAGATAAACAGTTACCGCCATATAACAGGCCAGGTGGGGGTATGGGCCATTTCAAAATGAACTCACAAAATTCGGGAATTTAAGTTAAGCACTTACCTTACTAAATCTATGTATACGTATTCAAGATCGTCAGCTAACTTTTTTCTGCCGAGCTATGCGTGTCGTCTTTGAACCCGTCTGTAGACAAGTTAAGAACAACATATCAACATGTTTTTTGAAAAGTTTCACGCGCATAGTGTAAACATGTGTCGAAACATTATGTAAGGTATTATTTATTTGTTTTTTTTTTTTTAATTCAAGTTTGCCCTTTACTGACGCTTTATAATGCCTTTCGAGTCTTTTTTTTTTTTTTTTTTGATATTTCAACGTTCAAATTAGCACAATTTTGTAAAAAATGTAGATTAAAAATCTTTAGATTTTCAAGAGATGTAGTATTAAATTTTCAAGGCCTCAAATTTAGATCTAACTCGAAGCAAAGCTAGAATTTTTAATAGACAAAAACTAAAATAGATTTTTTCGGGTCTGTGCATCTAGTGAGTTTGAGGGGTTTAGACGGAGACAGCCTCATACTCCCAATCAGAGGCTCTGCGCAGCATGCGCTTGACATCTGCTTTAATAGAACTGAATCAAAGTTGAAGGTAAGATAGTAGTAATTGATGTTTTTCAGTAATAAGGCTAGTTTCTCATTTCGAATAGACTTCAAAATTGATTTTGAATAAAATAAATTTGGCCAATTTGGCTAGGAACAGCCTTGTCCGATGTCCTTTGTACACTCGAACATAAACGCTATATCGACTTGTCACGGCTCTGTGGAATCGCTTTCAGGCCAGGGTTTCACACTAGATGCATTATAATGAATTTCGCCATTTGATAACGTTTTATTTTTTATGGGTTGCCTTCGAGAATCTTCTAAGATCAACCTTGTTCTTGCTTTTTGCGAGCGCGATAAATAATATACTTCTCTCATATAAGCGTTTATCGAACCAAGACAATCTGTATGTATTTAACTTTTCAGCAATTTGAAATTACTGCTACTATTGCTGGTCATATGGGCGTATGTGTGTGTGTCAGTTTTAACCTTTTGAGTCAATCGTACGTTGCACTTTTGGGCCGCCTGGGATAGGTAGTTTAAGAAATGTCGAATTCGATTTATGAAATGTTCTATATCATGTGTTGCTCGAACTTGGGCTATAAACTTAAACCCCTTATAATTACAGGTACTGGATGTGGGACACTCGAAGGAGTTCTATTTGAAGATCGTAGGTTCTATTCCACAGGATTTGATTAAGACACTATCAACAGACCAGAAGGGACAGGAGATGATTTTATGGGCAATGCCTCGCAGAGGGAAGAATCTATCTATCTGTCCGGTTGTCGTTGTTAACCTCGGCAGACGGGAAGTTAAGAAGAGCGTATCGCACTGCACAAATTATTTTACAATTCTTTGTGAAACTCGCAGTAAGTACCAGCAAAGGAAAACACATTTATCCAGTCGTGATACAAATAAGTCAGCAAAAATATGTTGTTTAGTCAATGCTGTTTGCTCCATAAAGATCCACATTAAGCAAGTAAACTAAACCCTCTATTAAAAGCGCGGGTCAGTTAGGCGGAGCCAAGTAATTGCGCTGTTCCGCAGTAGTGTAAAAAACGCGTATGGTCCAGAGGGCTTAAGACACTCAAGGCTGAAGGTCAGCCAAGAGAAAAACATTGAACCTTCCTAGGGTATCACGCTGAGGGTCAGCTCTTTGGGCGTAACGCTGATGCAGACTTAGATGTAATAGTCGAAACATTAATCCAAGCTCTCACGTTTAAAATGTATATAGCAGTTTAAATGAGGTTTTTATTGTTAAAGACTGGTAAATACTCATGCATCCATATAACAAGACGACAGTTCCCATGGGTTTGAGATTTTGAATACGCTTCTCAGTCGTAATAACTATCGATAAGTAGGTTAGACCAAAGACGAGAACCACCATCATTGTTGTTTGATCATATGCGGAAATGCTGAATTCTAAACTTGAGTTAATACCTCTAAGCACATGCCTACTACTATACCTACTTGATTCTTTTACCGTTTCACATGTATATACTTGTATATGAAATGTCAATAGCAAGTAGAAAAAGCTGTTTTTTGTTGTATCTATTACGAAAATAACTAGGCTGTCCGCCTATCAGAGAAGACTATCCAAACCTTTCAATTCCGTGGAGGCGAACTCCTGCGGGGAAGAAGTCCTTCAGATTTTGTTCAAGTATCCGTGCAGACTATACGGGCAGTATTACGAAGATCTGCTCTCCCCAAGGTTATTGGGAGACGTCACATAATGTGTCGTGCATTGCGTCGACCCGTGTAGATGGCTTTAAGCACCGAATCTTCGTAAGTATATTTTTTTAAATTTAATCTAGGCTTAGGTGTTACTGGACAAGTCTGAATATAGCTTATTGCAGTTTAAACCAATATAATTTTATTAATTCAGTGTTTTTTATGCTCTCGATTAGGGCTCGATTCCTGTTATGCATGTACCCTTTACTAAACTCCGCGAATCCAAATAGTCTCTAGTGAATTGCTAGGCCGCTATCAATAGCCTACTTGGACATCGTAAGGACTCGCTTCTATCGTCCCAGAATTGTGGGAGTATTTAAATAGGCTGTATACTTTCAAATAAATGTAATATTGAGCTAGAAAACGTTCCGGTCGATATCTTTCGCTATTGTTACCTCTGGCAGTACGCTCATAGTCCGACTTCAATCCTTTCAGATTCTTAAAAATTTTGATCGCCAGAGTCAGTTTATTCGTGACGAACTGGCAAAGTACGATGATGCCCTGGATATAGTGTTTAACACACGAGAGGAAGTGGCCAAAAATCTCACTGAACTAATCAGTGGACCTGAGGAAGCGGAAAATAAAACCAAAAAATTTATGCAAGAGGTAAATATAGGTATTTATTAATCAGAATGAACAAATGGAGCATGTTACGTACACATTAATGGTTCTTTATACACATAGTTTGTTAAGGGGGATCTAATAAGAGTTTCTGGAGGCGTGGTGGCAATTTTACATTGAAAATGGCTCTGTTTGCCTCTGAATCTTTGGGCATGGTAGCACTAAAACGTTTTAGCAAAATATGAAATTTTTATTAGATATATTTAATTTCACTTCTCATTGGAACTACTTCTTAGCCAACAGTTATTAGAATTAAAAAGATGCAATATCTAAGATAAATAATGGAAAAATGTATAATTACTCATATATATATACATATCGGAGCACCGGCATAAATGCGATCTATTCGAGCGACGTCTTGTTCTGATCTAACAATAGCAATGGGGCACCGCCTAAGATTTGTTCGCACGAGCCATATATATATATATATATATATATATATATATATATATATGTATACAGAGAGAGAATAGTCGGTTTTTTGACCGACTTTCAATTCTGTTTTTTAAAATAGCGTTAAGATCCCTATCGGGCGGCCCAAAGATTCCCCTAACATAATCCTCCTTTCTTTAGTTAAGATAATCGGTAACCCATTTCTCGACTATCCCATATTGCGGGAACCGCCTTCTAACCGGCAAATTTCTATCGATTAATGTAAGTGGTAGTTCAAAGCATCCAAATCTACAAAATCCGCCTTTATTTATATTGTATATGATTTTTATGTATTATCATTTTTTTGGATGATGCTGCCACTGGATATGGTAACAACAAGTAGTCCAAAACACGCGAGACAGGCATACTAAATTTAGAAGCAGTACAGATTTCAGATCGGCGCATTTCTCAAGACGAAAGCATTGAAACAGCTTAAAGAAAAAAATTCTTTCTACGCCTACCATTATCATCATTGTTTTTGAATAAGGCTGAGCAATTATTTATCTATTATTTATTTAGGACCATTTAGAAATACTACGCTGCAATATCTTTCGATTTTGCAGGTAATGCAGACGGTTGTTAACCGCGTAACATCGAGAAAAGATTTTTCTCAGGCGTGCCAAATTGGCCGAGAGTTTCTCATGAGGTTTGGGGAAAAACTGGAAAGAAATCAAACAGTAAGCAGTGACAAGGAGCTTGCACCCGCTTCAAGTAACATCGGTAATTCAGCTTAAATATATTTCAATTATAAATGAAGCTATGATTGATCATACATTTAAGGGAAGATTAAAATCACAACGTCCAAAAAAAGAGAAATGATTGCCTCGGAGAAAAACGTTGCAGACAGCGAACATTGTCGTTCTGGGTATAAGCGCGTGCTATTCTATGCCGATATATGCAAAAACAGATTCGGTGGTGTAATCAGCTCTTTGCTTGCATAGAATATAAAGAAACAAGTCAATATCTTGGCGAACCTTACGACCGACGATCAGTAAACTTCGGATTGCTTCGGATCTAGACCTTTATTTCGCATTATTGTCATATTTTCATGTATAATAATCGTCCAACGTCAGAAGAAATAAGATATTATCAACTTTAGTCACACCTAAATTGCAGGTTCAGATTTTTCGGACCTTCGACTCCACAACTTTGGCTCTCTTTTGAAAGCTCTATAGGGCATTTGTTACTAATACTGATACTAAAGCTAAAACGGGCCAGTTATATCTTTGATGTGCATTTTTTTTCAATAGATGTGTTCATTCGTACGGGTCAGCAACGTCAAGAACCAAAGTATTTCTTATGAGGGAACAAAAAAATATATTTCTGAACTTTTATTTTGTTAGTGTTATATGTGGCAGATACAGACAGCTCATTCACGTGCGACGAATCCGTAACGTAGGAATTTTGAGGTTTGTTGCCTTAAGAGGTATGGCCGAGACCTTCATAATTTTCTAGTTGATTGTAAAGGAATAAATAGTGACCTATGGAGAAAAGCAATGATATAGCAGATATTCAACATTTTTTTTCTAAGACTCTGATTTACACGACGTCAATGAAACTAAGCTGAATGTGTACTTTTAGGTCAGACTAGAACAGCACTTAGAAATTAAGTACTGCTCTAGTAATGTGCATATATGCTTCAAGAGGACGATTCTTGCTTACAAAGTACCTACACGATGGATGCAATCTTCGATTTGCTTTTAGCGTTTGCCCTGACTAAGGTTTCGTTCGGTTCCACTACAACGAGCCAGTTAGAAAAGAGTGCTGCCATACCACGAAGGCTCTTGTCTGAGGTAGCGGGTTCACTCGTGGAGGTGTCTGGCAAATTCGACCCATCGCAGCCCTCTGTCGTTATGGGCCATATTGTTATGGATAAACTTTCTGAAGACGCCATGGCTCCTAGAGGCTCTGAAGCGTTTCCTACACGAGCAATGGTAATTTTTTCCTTGCTACCCTATGTATATAGGAAATTAAGATAGCAAACAGTTATTTTACATGTCTTATAGACAACACTTTAAATGACTTTTGTTTTATCAAAGGCAAAAGGGTTGCTATACACAAATGCACCATACAGGGTGAGCCAAGAGTCCTTTAACATACTTGGCGGACATATATCTGCCAAGTATAACAGTAAGGTGAAGATTCTCAAGCTTTTAGCAGACTTCTATTTCACCCTGTATTCGAAGAAATATTACTCATATTATTATAACACATGTATTTAGTATTCAGCACATTGTTCACAAAAATGTTTAATTTAGCGTACTCGTACCGTAACTCAGCAAGTGAACTTAGTATACTAAGGAGTCCTGGCCGTATTCGTACTTCGTGAAGCAAAACGTTTCCGACAAAACTACTCTTACGGACGCAATGACGCAGCAATTGCATCGTTCTAACCAAAATATAAGAACCAATTGAGTTTTCTATATTTTAACTTAAGAACTAGTTAGCTAACGCATGTTATGATAAAGAATGAGCATAAAAATGATTCTTGCTAGATTGAAGTCTACTTGTTATGGTCATTCGAGAAGACCACTTCGACTTCGTTAAGTTCAAGTTGACGTAAATGGTGATCAATGATTTGAAATAAAAACATTGATTAAAATCGATAGCTTTGTTTCGTTACAATTTAATGCGTTGTCTATCGTGCTCATTTTTAGGTGAACACGCCTGTTGTGGAGTTCTTTATCGCTGAGGGAAGCTTACGCAAGGCCCTGAAGTTCTCTGACTCGAAAATACGAATATCCTTCAAGCATAACCGTGTAAAAAAAGCTCGTGACCAAATGAAATGTGTCTTTTATGACACCGAAAACCTGTTAGTATCCAGCTAAACAAACATCTACCAGCTAATAGCCGCGTTTCCAGTTGCTCAACCGTTGTTCAACGGTTTTCTTTGCATTTTTAACTGGCTGCTTGCACTAGTCAGGAAACACGTCTTTTTTTTTTCTTTATCACGCCTGACGCCTGACGTTGCGACAGGAACAGACCGTAATAGTGCCTAACCCTTGTAGAAAATATCCATAATAAAATTCCATCATCAAAACTCTAGTAGCTCCGTGAAGAAATACAATGGGCAATTTCAATTAATCGTAAATTAGCGCACGCGGATGCACGTTTGTTGCCCGGAATTCATGGTAAAAATGTTTGCGTACATCACGTTGTATATGTGGGGCGCAGGGCAAATGATCGGACTAGACATAGCCCAAATATCTATTTTCTCATTTACTTATTCCGTGCGGTGACGGTATAGTTCGACCCCAAGTTTATATACTCTTAATGGGCAGTAGCAGAAGTCAGGCTGTGTTATGATTCTATTCTTTTTCTCGAAAGCATGCAAAATGATCTGGAACGCATTTACATGGGACACTCAGACGTTTAATTCATTGGTTCCAACATACATGTCTTGAAGATAGAGTATATTTCCTGCGAACTTGCGGAATTTATAATCGCGAAGCACAGGGGTTTTGCTGAGCACCCAATGTAAACGATTACCCAGGAACCCCCAGCTCACAGAATATCTGCGATTATGCTGCTTAATTAGAGTTTGCGGAATATGCCGCTGAGTAATTATGCACATAAATTTGAAAAATGTTCTAATTCGAGGAAATACGTCGATGAGTAAGTAGCTTATTGATTAAACGTGACTCAATATTGGGCCTTTAAACACATACTTTTTGGATGCTTTATAGTGTGTATTCCGGTTACGGTTGTCAGTATGAATCAGAACGATCCACCTCAGAGTTTACGGTCTGCGTGTGTAACCACACAACATCCTACGCAGCACTCCTGCTACCATCGGGTACTCAGCTAAGCCTCGTTCAACTGAAATTTCTCGAGTATATGACGGTGATTGGCATGCCCCTATCGATATTTAGCCTTGCCATCTGTATTGTCATCTTCACATTTGTCAGGTACGTGTATTTCATTCATTGCAATATGTGCTAAATTGATTTAGAAACAAAATGTACCATTTAGAGTCGCGAAGATCAAGCAATAGTTGTCGCAGTCCTGTCGTGCTGAACAAATCCTCATCCAAGTTATGAGTTGGATCCTCTGGATATTTAGGATCAACGATTTATGTGGCCTACAGTTTCTATGGAGCTTCCGGAAAATCTGAGACAGATTTCTATGAAGCAGAGTGAACGATCCATAATAACGATTACGGCTGAAAAGATGTAAAAGTCGTGTGAAAGAACCTCTCTCTATAGCGGTCAAGAGGAGCGCATCTTTCGCCAATCGTACAAATGCTAGATTCTTCGCATGTAGCTTGGTTATGATGTCAGCAAACTGACACATATCAGTATCACATTATTTATAGTCAGTATAAAAAAACGTACTAGAGACAGCAGTTTCGTATCGGAAATGACTCATAAGAGGTGCATACGTGAAGAAGTTTTATCTAAATATCTGTCTTTGCTCAGGTCGACTTCACAATGTTATCTCAATTAATTGCAAGTACCCTGAATATGATCAAAAGGCTTCACAGCGAGAAAGTTATAAGGGATTTTAGATCGAGGGTCAGCTAAGGAAAACTTGACCCTGCATATAGAGTTAACCGAAAAGGTTTCGTATCAAAAAATCCTAAAAATTAACATTCTTATCATTGATCCGTGTTATCAATACGTAATAATTATGCGAGTGTACCACGAGTGTAATTGAGTAGAATAATATAAGTATAATCAGACAAGTTCTTAAGACTTTTTCCCATGGTAACACGTCGGCAAGGAATCGGAACCTTCCGCAACCTACTTTTTCATACCCTTTCGTAATAGAATTAAAAAGCAAACATATGTTCAACTATATAATATGTGCATATGGGTTTTCTCATATATATACTTAAAAGACAAATTGTCGTTTTATAAAACTGTACATTAAAAATTAATACTGAAATTTTCAACTGAACACAGCCTTTACGATGTCTTTGTTCTCTCCAAGAAACTGAATTTGTCTGTCTTCAATTAAATGTAAGAAGAAAATTATTTGTTTATTTCACTTAACTGAAACGAGAAATAATGTTTGCATTATGTTCGCAGTAAACCGCTAACCCCGGTGACAAAGGTTACTCGAAAAAGAAACTCGGTACCGATTAGATAAACGAACGGCAAAATATAATAGTGACCGGCGTGATAGGGTTACAATTTTCCTGGGATTACCTTAGGGAAATATCGTGCAAGACAACTTATTGCCGATAGGTGTTCGGAAAATTTAAACTTGATGGAAAAACTAGGAATCGCCGAAAAGACAGACAGACCGACCGACTGAGCGCAATTACGCCTGTGAAAATGGGGAAGCTATAATCCGACACAAATAACATCAGTCGCCATGTCTGCTCTGAAAACAGTTTGTTTGACGCATCGCTCATAGTCCTTACGGTATGTATACCTGGTTGTTGAATAACAATAAGCAATTTTCCAAGATGGCGCGATGACAACATAGGCATTGATATGCGCGAGTGATGACAAACATCTGCAGTGATTAATATGAATTTTTCAAAAATCTACCACACTTGTCCGGAAGTCCAACAACGTGTTTGTAAGTGGAATAGTTTTTATAAATATAATTTTTCTTCAGTCAAAAATGACTACGAAGAACAGCTTCATAGCCTAATTTTTTTGAGATGTTTCAACAATCGTACCATAAAGGAAAGCAAAGCCTGCCAGTAGGCCACAATTAAAAGTTCGATAATAAGCATAGCCAACTAATGCGTTCACAGGCAGCAGCAGCAGCAGCACGAACAACGAAATATGATTCATCAAAACCTGTGTATCTCTCTGCTGCTCGGCGACGTTCTCCTGCTGGTAGCCAGTTACGGAATAAACAAGTTTCAGGTAAAATATTCACTCAATAACTATATGGATTTGTTAATAAGGACCGATTACAGTACGATAGTAAAATGGTCGGAAGACTTACTTTCTATTCGCTCGAATCTGCAAGCTTGCTTTGAGTAGCTAGCCCTTCTATACGATATAAACACACGTTCGAAGCTAGTCCTCAGGATGACACAGGTCCTTTGCCTACTGGCGGATTTTGGCGCTGGGAGATTTATTTATAGCCGCTATGCAAAAGTTAGGTCAAGAATTATGGATCAGTTAGCTAGATTGATAAGTACCTCCTGGAAACTACTGCTAAGCCTTACATACATCTAGCAAACTCATTCCGTAGAGCAAATAACGCTTGCTTGAGGAAAATTGAATCGAAAGTACGTTTACCCTAGGCGTGACCATATGAAGAAACGATACACTGCCATTTGCGACGATTTACTGGCTCCTAGTATGCCAAATTCTGATTGCCAATTCTCTATAAATGAAAACGTGTTTAGGCTAAGAATCAGCCCTTCGGTTGAGGTTTTAATTGAAGCATAAATCAGTTCTACTTCTAATCAGCGATCAACTTATTAGCTATTTCGTTGCTGACCATTACGGATGTGGATCTTCCTTTTTTTACATTGCCTTACAGGATTGCACTCTTTTGGGTGCCCTGGTTCATTTAGCCTTCCTCTCGGCACTCTGCTGGATGGGTCTCGAAGGCGTTCATATCATTCATGTGATGTGGATAGTCTTCGTTAGAAGCAATATTCCCACCGCGCTCTACTATGTACTGGGTTAGTAAATCGCAATAGTTGGGTCTGTTATCCTAGCTGCTGCAGGAGTTACTCGATCAATTATATATCGACTCAACCCTATAATACATTGCTCGAGTACGCGATTTCCTACGGACATGGTCATGCAGCCAAAGGGGTCTCATTTTTCAGGCCCTGAAAATCACCATACAAGTAGAGCAATTCGGTGATGCAAGCATCATTTTATGATCATTTGCGGGAATTGCTGTTTCATAACAGACGCTTTTCGATTTGAAGCAACGACAAAACTGACCTGTCAAACCCCAAAACGTTATTCGATGTAATTTGAAAACGCACAGAAATATAAGGCGGTGTAAAATCAAGGAGCTGTTACCTCTTTCTAATCATAGTATAGTTATTCGTTTAGTCCTCAAACGTGAACCTTTAACATTCGATATATTTCAGGCTACCTAACCCCGTTGGCCATAGTCGCAGCCACTTTCTGGGGTTTCGAAGAACCTTATGATCGTACAGCGCAGCTATGCTTCCTTACGAGGGAAAATTTCGCTATTTTTACCTTTATCGTTCCCCTTGTGGTGAGTAATTGATTCATCATTTTCGATTTCAATCATACAATATATCATAAAAACTGTAAAATACCATAATAAATGTAAATGTGACCAATTAAACAGCATCGTAAGTATACCAAGTAACGCTATCTTCATCAATATTTTTAAACTTTTACATTATGCATTGTTACTATAGAAACGAATTATTTATCAAGTGTAAAAAATCGGTAACAAACAAAATGGGATTTTGGAAAAACCTCGGTTAATATTCTGTTATTAGCAAATACTTACCGCCGTCCGTTCTCTTGAGTTTATAGCTATGGGCAAAGAAATAAATGCGGCGTTTTAGTCGTAGAAGGGAAAAGTTGAAAGATAATAGTGGGCTTCACAATTACGACAATGGAGTGTATAAAGCACTCAAAGATGCTGTTAGAACCGCTAAGAGGTCGCATTTTGAATAGTAAACCTAATCCTTCTTCTAATCGTTGAGCTCTACCTAATCCTACTTCAAACCTACTCACACCTCTCCTATATATTCCTGTTGCGAAAACATTATTGGCAGATTCAATAGAGGTTGGAGAGTTAGCTTGATACGTCTGAATTTTAAAACGGGCCGAAGAAATGCTTGACGGCGCTGTTGTGTGACTAATTACTTAAACTTTGCTAGTCAGCATCAGAGACGATAGCATCAGAAAGGCTGTAATATAATTCAGAAACCTTGCAAAGCAAAACAAAGCACACGGTACTTATATCAAAATCCTGCCATTTATTTTATTTATGTTTAAACGTAAATGACGTATCACACATGATATTATAACGAGGTTACGCTTTTAGATTGGCGATACTTGTAATGATTTGCCCCAAACGAAGCCCGAGAGTTATGAAACAATGTAGCTTTAAATGCCATGGGGTCCTTTGATCAGTAAAAAGCTAAGTTAGGTTTCTGCTACCATCGTACACAACTATGAATATTAAGAGCAAGTTACCGCGAGTAAGATCGCCTGCTTAAACACGGACACGTACTTAGCTGACTCTGCCAAGAAGTACGTAGCTTTCGCAGAATGCAGACAGCATAGCATTAGAAGATAAGCACTGCTTCGATTATTTTATTCAGCCTTTTCACGGAGGATGTCACTAAACGCCTAGGGAAAAGCGATCCCCTTATTCGAAACAGGTGAGGCGCGTGTTGATTTCCATAACCTCGTTTGTTTGCTTCCGAGAATGTTTTTCTCTTGGCCATTCACTATTAATTAACACAACGACGTCAGTGACTGCTGAGTATGTATATATTGTTTGAGAGAATGAAATAAAACGTATGAGCAGAGATGTTGTCGTAGGGGCCTGATCCATGCTGTCAAGGGACGAGAGTAAACTGCGCCTATAATGTATCCTCAATAGAATGATATCCGGCATTCTCAGAAAAACGCCTCGTGTCATCATAGACAAATGTTCGTATTGTATTTGAGGTAATCAACTAACATAAAAACATTACCTTTATTGTTTGTGCTATTTTTGAAATAAGACACTGCTGGGCGAGCAAGCTATGTATCAGTTTCCAGGAGTGAATCCTGAACCCTGCCAGTTAAAAAATTGCCCTAAGGTCATAAGGTATATATGCCTTTAAAGTGCCAATGTAATCATATTTCTGACTGTGGTTTTTCAAAGAATTGCTGAGACGAGTTGCTGACTATGCCTTTTTGGCGTTTATTGGTGGTTACTAAAAATAACTTCAAGCCCATGACGATCTATTTCCAGAAAGACACATAAAGCGATAACTTTTCTCTCGAAAGCTGACATCTTTCCATATGCATACACATGTGTATTTCTATTTTTCACGCATCTCTCAGAAGCACGTTTTATGTTTCGATGTTTGCACGTGCCGCTGTGTCATATTGTAGGTTCATTGGCGACGTAGGCACGACGTAATGACGGAATTGTTTAAATTTGCACCGTTCATTGTTAACTGATCTATTGTGCTCATCGGTAACTGGCTATCGACTGTGGAGCGCATAATAATAAACAGTGAAAGAAGAACTTTATACAATTAGAGACAAAATGCTTCGCCATTAAATGATAAGCTATAAAATTTCCCTATGCAGTCGTTAGGATTTACTGACCTTTGATTAATTCCCGCCATAGAAGTTCCTTAGTTGCGCAAATTGATTATTTAAAGATTTTACCTGGTGTGATCAGGTATACCAAACATCAAGAAATGAAGCCAATAACGTAGCCATACCTCAACAACCGTTTTTTCCTTTATTAAATAATATGTGTATACATCTGTTGTGATATGTACATGTAGTGTTGACCGTTTCACCATTTACAGACTCGTTTCTATCGAGACGTGATTCAATACTCATGACATAAAAATAAGTTCATTTTATACAGCGCCTTTCATTCAGGACGTTAAAGATACTACCGCTTTGTATTACCGCATGTAGCGTTGTGACGCAGACACTATTGTAGCCTTTTTCGAAGAGCTAATAGAGATGCTCACGGCCAAACCGTGAACAACCGACCCGATAACAGATATACCATATATATATATATCAGTAGCTATCTAGGCTTTGATAATTTCTACTTAAATTGAATTATCTAAACTTCTTTGTTTGTCAGGGCTGGCCGCGCTCAGTTGTGTTAATGCCAGAAATTCATAGTCATTCGTCAGTTTGTCGTAATGCTCCTTTAGGTTGGTCCAGAACATCATCGTGAGAACAGTGTGGGGGCCAAGGCGAAGATAAGAAGCACCAACGCCTTTGTAGAACCCCCAGAACCCCTCAGTTTTTGCCATTTTAATAAAACAATCAAAAAATCCTGAATAGTAAATTCCAAGACGAGTTTTCGGATCAATACCTTGATTGTAAAGACGCGTACAGAGGACATCAAACGGAGTCATGGCTAAGCAAAGTCCAATACCAGCTACGAAACTTGCAATAAGTATTGATGTGTTCGGATAGAGCGCCATGGTGGGGTTCTCCATGATTTTCTCCTGAATCGTGGTAAATGTCGATAGCTGAATGGCAGAACCGGCGGACACCCTTACCATAGCTGCATTCGCCCCACGCCATAAACCAAAGCAACCCCCTTTACGGTACACACTTAAAAACGCTTGAGTCACACTAGCATGCTTGTGCTGGAACCCTACAGCAATATTTTGACTCAATGATTGAGACTGAATCTGCGTTTTGACGAGATACAGGGGACTGCCGATAAAGGAGCCAATCGCCCCTGAAAAAGCGCCACATAGGACATTTTTTGGGTAAGAAAGTTCGTGTCGATGATTTCGCGTTAAGCCAAAACTGTTCAGGATCGAGTAAGTGCCCAATCGAGTGCCGTTCATAACAAACTGAAACCACAGGGCAGGTCCCATGCCTGACTGCAAGGCTAACACACCGTCGTGTTTTGCGATCTGGTAGCATGCGTGCAGCGTATTATTGTAATGTACCTAGAAGTAGACAAAGATCTTCGTCAATTAATCATTCCGGTTATGAATATTTATCATAATATTAATGACAAAAGGGGTTACATTTTGGAAATTTTGCAACTACAAACAAATATATATATACAAATAAATGCAAATGTTTACACACGAAATTGAGCTAAGTATACCTAAAGCATCGCTTACCTTATAAGTGCCTCGATTCTGAAGCTCGCCTTGTAGTTGGATACGGGTCTTGACTACGTCGAGGGGATTGGTGAAAAAGCCCGCTCCAGCAGCAGCTACCCCTCCCAACACAAACTCCATTACAAATCCGCGGTCTCTCCGTTGACGCACGCCCGGTCGTACCTATCAAAAGATGGTCATGAAGTACTGCATACAATGTTCAAGAATCTTCGATTTTCTATCAAAAGGAAACCTTAATAATGAGGATGCTATTTTCTTATCTGTATTATACCTAGGCGCAAACGCTGAATAAAAATAGTAATCTCGGAATAGCTCTAGTCAATATCACTGTGGTAGGCATCAGTTTGGCAAAGATTAGTATTACGCCTAGTATGGTTAGGGTTGACGGAGTAAGTTGTTGTAGAATTTTCGTACTATAGCTTTTAACTAATCCTATTCCACCCACAGTTATTTGTTGAAACAGCATTAATACACGAATATCAAGTTGCATTGGCTCTATCAACTTCAGTGATGGGAACTTTCGGTCTATACATGTCTCCAACTCCCATTCTGGGCAGAGCGAAAACACTGATCCAGCTCATCAATTGCTCTACACATCCCCTGATCTGACGTACAACAGCAAACGATTCAAAAACAGAAAAAATGCCTTAACAGGACCTAACCGAGTCAGATCACCATGTCTACATGCAGATTATTCCAACATACGCAGAGTATAACACGCCAAGTCACGCACTGACACATTAGTCAACTCGAATATATTGCAGTCTCCACTCTTGTTGCATCACTCTTCCGACCGCAATAGAATGATTACCAATTGCCTAGACTATCGGTAATATTTTAGTGTTCAGTACTCTTGCTTTCTAGGGTTCAATTAGCTTCTATTACAGAGAGACAACGTATACTACTTTCCCGAACGCTTTTAAACAAATTCTTCTGCTTAATCTCGTCGAGGCTTTGAAGCGTTTTCTAAGCAGCTGAGTTGAATTAATATGGAGGCAAATTGTACTTCTTTAGTCCTAAATAACGATGATCAGAAGTGGTCGAAAGAAGTCAAGGACCTCTAATAAACTATAGAGGCTTTTTATTCACTTGATCGGAGGAACTACAGATGTGGGAAAGCTAAACGCGCAGAAATTTCGTGCCGCAATGTCTACATATGATGTAATGGCGGCAATAACCGTAATAATCACCTTGCGCGCACAACACATTTTTTCGCAGCGTCTTCTGGCCGATTCCGCGTCAACCGCCAAAATTGTTCAGTGGCAGTAATGAACTTGTAATGATAGTTTCCTCTGAAGTTCATTAGGTTTACGTTGGCGCTGCTAGAGAAACACTGCGAACCCAACGCCAAAGCTGTCGCGGAGTAAAGTTCGGTAACCGTCAACGGTATCTAGCGACCGTTCGAGGTAACCTACTTGTATCTCTTTCGCTTTCCGAGAAGCAAAGTAGTGAATGATCACTCATGGGTTTAGCTAATGCCAGTACCGCGGCGTGTCCTCAGCGTCACTAGCGATGACAACAGCAAACGTCGAGGTTCGCCTCCGGCTTCGTAGAATCTTTTGCAGCGAGCACTGGAAAGTCTTAGAAAAGCCAAGCTGCCCAACGCTGCCAGCGTTACTGATTCTGTATTATCTAGCTGTATCTATCTATGACTGGTGCGGTTCGTGCCGGCTTCTATCTCCTGCTGGCACGTCCCAGGTGCGCGCAGTAGTGCGATGCGTGTGGCGAACTCCGCCATGATTATATATGAAGCGTTCGATGGCGGAAGCGGCATTTATGGCAACTTCATGAACTACAGTCAAGATAGTAGCTAGTGAACTAGCTAAAGGGCCAAGCAGATATCGGACATCATCAAACTGACAAAGGCACTCACCGCCACCGCCGCCGCCGAGGGCTTCGACGAACGCGCTTTATTCCTTTAAGTTGTCGAACCGGAAGGTCCGAAGGAGAAGGGCGGAATGGCTCAGAGTGAATGTGATCTGTGTCGCCGATGTCCGGGGCAGCTGTATTCTCTTACTGCTGTAGTTCACAGTCGAAGTAGTAATTGGAAAGTTGAGCAGTATCGTTGTATCGCGTTGAGCTGCTCTGATGCATTGGCTTTGGATCTAGAGATTTGACGGTTTGTTAGATTTCACTTTTCATTGATAAAAGCGTAACAGAATGCAATCACCACATGCCGTCCAGACCACACAAATTCGGCATGTGGCCTGCTGCTGAAAGCGCACTATCACAGACGTCGTATATAGTCTTGGTAATAAATTAACAGATAGACAAGGTCTGCCTGTTTGTCTTATCAACTGAACGTAAGAGAAAAGAACAACGAGACAGAACAGACAAGCAGCAGGGCCATTAGTGCCGTCGGTACTGTTTTCGCTTTACGCGCACATGTCATGGAACAACTCCACTCGATAAATTGCTTTCTCGACGATCTTAACAAAATTATCATATCAGTGCCAGGATCGGCTAATAGTGGAAAGAGTTGCAACGGTGACGCCAATCGAGTCCCGACCTGTAGGCCAGCTCTAGTTCACCGCAACGCCTTCGTATTGTTAAAAAAAGAAGTGGGCATATACGCTACGGGCGACACCGTTAATTTATCGGTAACTGCTGATTGACGGGTAGCGGACCAACGACGAGTACCTTTTAAGCCATGACGCAATAGGGAAGAGTTAGCTGACCAATGTTTTTGCTGTACGAGGTTTATGCAAACCCGTCTCCACTAACTAGCCCTTTCCGACACATCCAATGCGAGAAACATTCGTAGGTAGTTAATAGAAAAAATGATATAACTGCCATCCCCTACAGTTATATCATCAATTGTCAGCTGTTTCGTGCTTAAGCTGCTATAAACCTCAACATCAGTTTGAATAAAGGAGAGTAAGAAGGATCGCGTATTTTGGCCGTTTGTAAAGCGCGACTGCCAATTACCAATCGAGGGAATAGCAGTGTTATGTTGGCTTCTTTTGCTAAGTTTCTGGGTCCTTCGAGTCTTTTTTCGAAGCAAGCCGCGCATGACAGGGCCTTCCGGTTCTTCGTAATAACCACTCGGCAAAGTGTTTCTAAAGTCGCACTCGAAGAAACTTCTCGCTTTCTAGAAAGGCTGATAACCTTGCGTACGGTGCTTCCGGCGTGAAGGCTTGTGACTATGGTGGATTCCGACTTTCAGAACGTTTGTGGTTCAGAGACGGTGAACACTACTCTTGTTATCGATGGAGCAAGCTTACTCTACAAGTCGGTGGCTGGAGTGTTTGATCCGAGGAAGAGAATTTAATTGAGTTGGACTTGATTGCCTCGAATTCTAACTGTGGATTTGGCTACCGCACAGTGTATATTCCATCCGCCTTACTATCAAGACATCAAAAAGCTAAAGAAGAGAATGTAAGTTTAAACGCTCACCATCTTAAAGTCTACTAAGTCACTTGACAGCCATTCGCTCTTTGAACTCGGTGCTCTTTAGAGTATTTCTAGATAATGAATATAACAGTAATGGTCCTAACCGTATTGGCAATACGTATTCGAAAAATGGTATCTCTTATTATCGTATTTATTGGAAACAAAGGCCGGTGGTGAAGTTGTTTTTTGAAATCTCTATCTTAATCAAAAATGAGAAAAATATTTTCTATCAAATATCACACGAGCTTGTTTACAATCACTTTAGGTTCGTCCCAAACCGATATCACTTTATCGGCATAGTTTTTCTGTAGTTTTCGCCTTCTGATCAGGCCTGCCTCTTCATATCCTTCTAAGGCAGTCCTCGCTGGCCGTCTTGTACGATGCTCCCCTTTCGTGGGAACAAAGGGCAGAGGATGTGAGTGAGTAGTTATATATAGATGGTCCCCTGATTTAACCAACAGCGGCATATTTCTCCGTCGAGCCTCCTCTTCTTGCTTCCTTGGGTTCACTGGGTTAGCTGTGTGAAGCATTTGCGTCAGAAGAGAAGGACAGATCAGAACGAAGGCAAAATAAAGACGCACATGAAGACCAAACTCCTTTCTAGCATGGCATTAATCTCGTATGATCTGACATGTGGGGCGAAGGGCAATACAGGAAAAAGACCAAACGGAGAGCTCGTGGAGGACACTCATCGGTAAGCGATGTTCTGCCCAGAGCTACGCAATGCCGTTCTAAGTAAAGGCAACGACAAAAAGCCATAACCGGCCTATCCTTAGACGCTCACACACATACCCACATTCGTATCGAACAAATAGTATTATCGTATGCAAATAGCCCGTTCTATGCGTACTCGAATATAAGCACAAGTTGTTTTTTGCTTCCGGACAAATGCGAAAATCTCCTTGCAAGTCGCTGCAGCAAAAACAGACGGTTATTCGAGCAACAACTGTGCAACTGTAAGCTGTCGAAAGCTCTCTAACTTATGGTAGTCACTAAAGTTAGAATTATAAAAGGATTATGGTTCGTAATACAAAGCAGACCGGTCAATAAATAAGAAAGTGGGAGCTACAGCGCTCGGTGTTGCTTGGCAGGGTGTTAGAGCATAGGAAAAACCACTAATCAAAAGGAACGACAGCTCAGCTAAAAGTGTTTGAGTAACTATTCGACAGATAGTTTGCTATAAGAACCTGTGCGCGGTTAGATACTATAACGGTTAGCTCTGTCCCGATCACGGTGAATGACTGTAGCACCGTGACCTGAAATATGGAGGGCACTAATGAATGAAAATGCAATCATCTGATGTACGTAATTACTGATCTATTGAAAGAGTATGATATACTAACCGCTGGTTGTTATGCGTATCTGCGTAACTTCATCCACTTATTTTACTCAACTATCACCCTGATATTTGGTATCTGAACAATTTCTGAGAACTGGATACAAATCAGTTAGTGCGTGTATTTTAGTTTGAACATTCATTGATACGTGTCCCCATCCTGTGATATAACTATGTCCGACCGGTCAGTCTGAAGCTTGCGGAGATCCACTGCTGAACGATAATATTAGCTACTCCTGTTTCTGTCTTCATCGTTCAATTTAACCTGTTTCCGTCAATGTCGATTAGTTTTGCCTTGCATGAGGCAATCAATCATTCGACGCATCAGATTTAACTAGCAGGGACACTGATATAGCCCTTTTCCCGTGCCTGATCGACTGGTTGGTAGATAGTTGATCTTACGATCTAGCTAAATAGTCCAAGTCAGCCTTTCTGTTTATCTTCTTCTTGGTCGTCCCCTGAACGTCAATCGTTAGGTTATTTTTATTCTTCACAGTGAGCAGTGACGGCTTTGACGGCTGGTTTGCACCAAACGCAATAGAATGAGCCAGTGTCGTCTGTGAGACGATTTTATACTTCTCATATTGAGAGCCGCTATAATAGACATAATTTGACGTTTACGCCGATCGTGCAAAACCCAGTGTCAGGTTGTAATTAATCAACCGTACTGTTGATTGCTATTTTCGGATTTACGCTTGTAAACATATAAAAGTCTCACATTGTATCTGTTAAATATAGTGCTTCCATTTTCTTTTCTATTTGTGTAGAAGATTTGCAGTCTATATTACTCTTGCAACTATCGACGGCTATGGAATATTTATCTATGCAGAACATTTCATCTGTGTTTAATTTGGGTAGAAGCTCGCGTACAACATAGGTCATAAGTTTTCTCTGCTTAGCCGGCACTGGCGAACGGTGCGTTATGGCGATCGGCGCGAGCGCCCAAAATTTCGGTATTTCTCGTATACTCGTTTTTCAGCCGAGATCACACTCAAGGCCTCAGCAAGTGCAAGGCCTCAGCTTGTGAAGTCAGTTTCCATACCTGAAGATTAAATCGTTGTAGTTAACTACATAAATAGACACAAATTTTGTAATGCCTGAAGTATTATAGCACGCATCGAGCCAAGAAAATGCTGAACGCATTATGTGAAATTATTTATATTTCGTGAGTGATACTCTCGTGCAAGGCATCTTGGTCGTTGGTAAACGGTTACGCATCGGTACTGTGAAAAGCTCTTTCCCTTTGTCATAGCCCCTAACATGTAGGATGTAGAAGAAACAAAGGCTTCGACATAAAATACTGTACGGTTTAAATGGCGCCCCTTTTCTGCAAAAATTGCTACATGTTACAAACATCTTAAAAAAAAAAAACGGCTAAGTTTCATGTGTATACGCCATTCACTCTAGGTGAATTGCTATGATCGCTATAATATGAAGATATAGTTGTTTCAGAAATAGGACTTTAGGACACGTTTAGAAGGTAGACCCAATGGCCAGTAACCGCGTTTGCAGTTATGGGTTTAAATCTGATATATCTTGTAGCCAAACCGTATTAATTCACGCAATTTATAGGGTCAATTGTTCTTATTTTGTGATCAGGTAATGTATATCTTTACAGCTAGCTGTGAGTAATTACCGAATGGATACTTATATTACGATGACAACTGCGCCCCAATATTTCCGCCTTTTTGACGAATAAAATATAGCTGTAATACTACAAACTTGCACTAATTTTAAGGCCCGCGTCCATTTAGCTTGCACGTGTCCAGTACGTTTCACCTTTGACGCGACCCATTTCTCTATACAACTAGAGATTTTGGGTCTTTTGTAAAATTCACGTACGCGATTGATGCGCGAAATGCAATTTTGCCGACGTGATCAAATTCAGTGTGGTACTCGAAATGTTCCTTGTTTTTCATAGCATACAGTTATGCAAAAAATAATATTTGCCTTTTTATATTGTCGACGTGCTTATTTAGTTAATCTGTATGTTTTACATCTATTGTTGAAGTTACCTTATATTCAGGACAACGTCTTCTAGATTGAGAACGCTTAACACCTGGTTTTTGAAAGGAAGATGGAAAATCTCAAAGCTTTTCGAACCTGAAAGTGATATCCTTTTTCTTTGACGTCGCCTGCGGGCATTCGCTTGTTTCGCCATCTTTTAAATTTTCTACCTCCTTATTGTCGCCACCGTCCTTGTACCGGTTCGTCGCTGCGGTCGGCTACCGTGCTCAGCTAACTTTGCCGAAGGCAAGGTTTGGCGGTCCTATCGGGACTAGGCCATGTCTCGCAGCCACCCTAGCGAACGTTCATCTTCTATGAACTATTCTCTCCCATCATAGCTGTTCAATATAAATGAAAAAAGAAAAGTAAAATCGATTTCGCGAAATTTGCATCTCTCTTACGAACCAATGGAACGGATACGCGGCGCACAACATCGCAACGAGTTTTGGTTCATCACGAAATTTTCCGTTCCTATAAACTACTGTCATACGGTCGGTCATAAACTAAATTTCTTTTCAAGAACAGCTCCATATACCCATATCCAGGTAGTAGTTTAGCCCTATAAATATTTCGTTTAAAACGTGTGTATTTCATGAGAGGAACAACGCCGGCAAGAACGCAATGAATGCTTGTACCAATATTATTGCGATTCATTGTTATCAATCTGTTGATTCTGAGGACCGTATCATCTGATCGGATCAGAAATGCCAGTAGCTCATCTGGCCATCAATGTTATTTGACAATTAGCGCTAGCACCTATTGTAGATTCGGATTCAGATGTTGGAAAATAAAGCGTTGGAAATAACTTCTCTTGTCAAAGGGAGTAAATTTCTCGTACTTTTTGATGCTAGGTGGATTTAGCCTTTAGATCCGCGTATGTGTCTACAGAGAATAATCATTCGCTGTGCAAAAGAAAATAAGACAAATCACCATAGCCGTGTAAAATTAATCAGCGCTATATTTACTTTGAAAACCTTCCAGGTGGTAGTGTGTACAAATTTGTTGGCGATTTCGGTGGTCTTCTACCGAATGCGGACAGTAAAAAGCGCCCGGGACGAGGATCTCGTAAGATCAGCCTGCAAATGGGCACGCGGTGTCGCCGTTCTAGTGCCTCTACTTGGTCTTCCGTGGCTCGTAGGCCTTTTCATGTATTCCCAGGATCCCTACGTCGTTGTCGGCGCAGCTTTTCTTTTCAATGTCTTTCTTGTATTGCAAGTACGTACCGCACTAACATTAGAGGCCTCTGTGAATTATCTAGCTACGACCCTCTATTAATGTATTACGGATTGCAGGTTCCTTCTGATTTTGATCATTCTTTAATAATGCTGAGATGCTGTAATGCTCATTTTAGCGAGAATTACTATTAGCCTAAAATAGAAATCGTCTTGAGTTTGTGGTTTGCCGTATCGTCATATAGGTTTAACGATAGTTTCATTTCATTCTATGTTCTTCTAGGGACCCGGAATTTTTCTTTGTCAGGTGTGGTTCAATAATAAGAAAAGAGACTCAGTCGCTAGGTATTTGGGCAATAGAGGTCATCTAGCCGGACACATCGCAGTGAGTAGCTCTACCCATTTTCATCTGTAATATAACGCAATGTAGTTGATTTTGCAAGCTTAACAGTCTGAATACATTGATTGCCGTGATATGAGTTTTCAACGTATTATATAATACAAAAAATAGGGGTTAATAATGAAAATTTACTGAATTATACGTTAATGGTGTTGGCAATACTCTACTAAAACTGGTCAGCGACGGCTGCCATTGAAGTTCACGTATCACTATATTCACTAATGGCTAGCTGATCAGTAATGAGATCACTATCGAGACAATCGTGTACCCGGTGAAATTACAAATCTATCTTTTAGGTAGTTCTAAGTAAAGAATTTTAACGAAAGGCCGCATCACCATTAGCGTGGTACGATGACGAACCTTTAGCTCTCATTGTCGTCCTTACCCATCGAACTGACAAATATATCTGGTAACAGTAATAATAATAACAATAGCAGAAGACATACTTGACAAATGACCCTCTACGGTAGAGATAATTATACTGCTGAAAGACTAATACCCCCTGGTTTTCAATAGCCAATAATAAATTTCTCAAGCTATTAACTGTAATACCAAAATAAGCCCTAAAAAACTTTTAATAGAGATATACAATCTATGTTGAGGTCTCTTAGAATCCTGATATAGTTTACTTTTAGCAACAGCTACGGCAAGCAAGTAAACATGGACACACCTGTACCATTGTCCTTTCGTTTCCGTGCTGCATCCTCGCGCCGATACCCTTAACCACCTTCTAGTGCTCTAGAATCCTCTTCCTGTTATTTTGCCTTAGTTCACGTTTTTTCGTAGTTTGTCTGAAACCTGATTTCTTTCTTGTCGTTATGATAATGCTATCGCACAGTCGGTATCGTCGTGCGATGGCTGACCAATGCGTCAGATACAATCGGTCACCGTGTCGAATTCACGAAGCGCTCGCGAAGAGCACGTCCAACTTCAGGTCGACTCGAATTTCCAGTAGACCTTTGGTACACCGGCAACTTAAAGACAACTTAAAGAATCAATCAGGACCGGAAGATGTTTATTCTCTGACCTTTTCGGTCTATGATTTTTCCACCTTTGGAGATTCCTAACCAAATGTCACCCCCAAAAAAGCCCAGAACTAAAACTGCAACAACACGTGGATAAATGTCTTTCGCTACGGCCACGCACGCCGTCTCTTCCAAACAAACTATGGGGCAGATTCCTGCTGCTTCTGCTACGGAACTATCTAAAGCTCCGATTAGATTTGGGTAAATCTTCTGTCTTCGTCGTTGCTTCTTTGCTCTTCCTTATAACACTTCATATTAAATGAACTCGCGCACAGATTTATTTGGTATAGTTAATGGCCACTGTTAAACAAGCACTACCGATGTCAACGCCGAAGAACGCACTTCTAGCCCAGGATATACGCACACGTATATAATAATCACTGAATAGCGATGATTGGCTGTTTTCCTCGCTGATTCGTTGGCTATGTAATACAGATAAATGATTTAGTCATTATCGCAATGAGAAGATGGCGTGCTTGCCCGTTTCGTTATAATAGTTTTTTTGTTTCTTTTTGGCTTATTAAATCAATTGGAGCCTCTCGGTAGGATCTTTACATAGCTGGCTTTGTTGTCTCACTGTAGAGATAGCGATATTTTCGGTGCATGCTCCGCTCTGAAAAAGGCTCATTAAGAGACCTGCTGTGCATTGCAGTTTGCATCAATTCCAAAGTAGATTCTATACAATCAGGGTTATATAGCAAGCGTTTGTTAAGGTGTCATAAAGTCAGTACAAGTCGTGCTATCAACGTAACGATGGCGAACGACTGTAAAAGACAAGCGCCTACTTATAGGATGTGTTAGATCGCTCGAGGGAAGCACAGAGGAAGAGACTAAGATTACGCTTGTCGATGTCCTCTAATAGGACGTCTGTCTGTCTGTCTGTTTCAAAATGTGCCTAATTAGGTCGTAGCTATATGCGCCTGTATGTCTGCAAATATCTCAATGATACGTGCTGCACGCCTGGTAGTGTGACTGTGTTTGCTTATTATGTGTTCTATTGTGATGTTGTTATTATACATCTCCATGTTACTTGCTATTGCTGCGATTACGAGCTACGTGCCGTGCATTGCTCGCAGGTTGCGCTCAAATTACCAGCCTGAAAGCTCGAAGCGTACGATATTTTTGCACGCTTCGCTGAGATGTATCGACCCGTTGCTTTGTTGTGGTTACAATTCGATCCTTTTCTTGGTTTTTCGTCACGCCAGCAAACGTATCTGCAATAGCAGAAGCTGGCTTGTCGTCAAACCCCAAGTCAAGAATCGTTCGCTTATTTACACTTATTTACTGTCAGTTAATGCGAAGCAGAGAAACAGACCTGAATATAAAAACCCGCATCTATTTAAATGTATATCTGTCATGTATGTAAATATTCATACGTCAAATTATTTATTTGGACGTTAAAATAAAAAAAAATATCAATATAACAACTGAAAAAATGTTTAATGACTAAAAGAGGGTTCGGTACTTAAAATGAACCACCTTGCGATAAATTTATCTTGTGTGTTGTACAGATCGATGAATTACAATACATACACACATGCATGAATTTTATGTGGCACATGTATTAAATGGGTGTACTTGTTACGCATGTAATAAATCTATTGTTATGTATGGCTCGCTGGGCATGGGTTTAGAAGAACTTGTTTACTTGACCGAAGATGTAGTCCCATACCCGCGCTGCTTCTCTCCATAGCATTATTTAGTCTCGTTCTGTTTCCGTTCGATGTTTTCATTCATTAAGTATATTGAGCTAGATCGGACAACGCTAGGCGAACGTGAGCCAGAAGGGCTTGCTCCTCCACCAGCAGGAGGCCTTGACACATGGCAAAGCATCATTTGCAACTAGGATTTAAGGCGGCTTTTTTTGAATTCTGAAGCTTTGTGCGTCGCCTAGTTCTGTCCGGTTCGTGTTAGCCATTTCGACCTGCCTATCTGACTGCCTGCCTGCCTATTTGTCTATTTACAGAGGCTGTTTGCCCGGTCAAAGGAAGGCCAGAATTCCAGTACAAAGTCTTCAAAGGTTTTATCCAAGTCATCAAATAGTCTAAGAACAGACTTAGCCAATGTTACGTTGGGATCGCGGTGGAGCGCTTCGAAACATCAAGCAACATCACCACCGGATCTGGAGAACTAAGCTTGCTTATTATCAGCGTCATGAGCTACTTCGATTCAACAAAGGCACAGAAATTGAGTGGCAGTAGGACCCGTGGACCTTAACGCAAAGCAAAAAGCACTATACTTGTCACCCTACAGTAAAAATAAATATGAGATAATGAATTACCTTAACCAGTAAAACTAAAGTGTGCTAGCAGAAATAGGAAGCAGTAATAGACTAACCGAAAGGCTGCAGAGCAAACAATTTTAGTAACAGACGATCTCGGTACCCTCTCGCGGTTTGTGAAACGAACGAAACAGATCAGCTATATAGATTTGAAATAGGTAAGCCGTAGTTATAGTTGAGAAGTGAGTGATAATGAAAATATGAACCTTTAAATAAGTATCTTAACGGGCCATGCTATAGCTTTGCACATTGTTTACTTCCAGCTCCAAAGTTGAGAGTCGTTACTCTAAATGCTTGATATATATCTGTACATATAATATCCCTGCTATTACGTAGTGCTATAACATCGTAGCGGCAGGTGTTCTCTCTGAGGGTGATGAAAAATCGATATATATATATATATACATCTCTACTCGAAAATTCTATTTCGATCTAGGTCTTAAATTAGTACTTTATTTCTGTCCGTTCCCCATCAGAGTTGTTAAATTCAATACTACATTGACTTGACTTGAAGTGGATGAATTCAAGCAGATGTTGAAATGAAATTGATCAACATTGTTTCTAACGTTTTCCTATTATTCGTTCTTACAGATGTATTGTTTACCGTACGTATGGCACTCACCGCAGCTTGAGGGGATTTACCCCACCGTAAATTGTTACATTATACTAGACATTTTTAATGTGAATGGATATATCCTGACCAAAGTTGAGTTGTGTTTTCTAACTGTCGCGCAAACTTCAGACACAGAATAGATCAACGACTATATCCGTATGTTCCTATCAAGCACACACACACATCGACTACGCGTTTACGACAAATCTGGCAAAGGAAAATACAATGACCTTAGGCAGCTACTACGTGCATGCCTATGTCCTCTGATAAGTCTTCCAATTTCTATTCAACTTCCCAGTCGTATATATACGAGAAAGCTGCGAATGTTGATAATCGGTTTGACTCCCATTACGTCTGATCGCGATTAAAAAGTTACCCACGGTATGTGTAATACCTTACATTCTTCATGTATATAGGAAGCAATAGATGATATGTACCAACAACGTAAACGAGGTGCATTATAAAAACATCTATGAACCAAAATGTTCTTTGTATATTTTTTGAGATTAATCATCACGCTTCATTGATCATCGGGCAATCTGTTTGTGCATGTCTAGGTAGGAGATCTTTCATTTCAAAATAATCCAAGCGTACGATGGGTCGACTGATTTCCGACGAGAACGTCTTTCAAATAATCATCCCAGGCGGAAAGTTTATTTAAAATAAAATACCTGTGTGATACTATATGTTTTCTTATTTTTGTTATATGATCCGAAAGATAATTATCCTGAAAAAAGGGGGTGTCTCTACAACTGGTCTAGGAACAGAACAGGTTCCTTGTGAGTGGACCATGGGGGTAGCGCTGACAGCAACCTACGCTTGTAGCCTTCTGTTGCAGCACTCGGTGACTACTGAAGGATCCTAAGCTATGCTACCAGAAGTTCCTGACGCCTCTAATTGATCTTAATTACCTTCATCGTCCATATGGACCCATTCGAATTCGATTTTTAGGCCTTCAAAATTCGAAAGCTGTCGAGCTGAAAATCTGCTAATTAGGCACCAAGTACCCTTAAGACTTAAGATTGCCAAGACCGGAAAACTGTTTGTGACTGTTGCATCCGTATCTAAACCTATTGAGCTCGGATGGATCAGATTGGGCAGCTATCGGTCACCTGTATATTACTTGATAAGACACCTGTGGGCCTCTTGTTATCGTCCTCGGGTTCATGAGATAAAATGCACCAAATGCAGATACATAGCTATATAATTAGCGCGCACGCGGAGTTGGTAAGAAATTATGTAGAACGCTATTTTTCTAGGTATTCTGTGAATAGACGGTGATTCTCTTAAAGTTTACAGGGGGTTCAAGTTCTTAAACATGCATTTACTTAAAAAGTGCCTGTTTCCATGTTAAATACAAGAGCTGTCTTAATCGCTTAAAGCTCACATCGAACCAGTCTGACATGTAAACGTGATTCCTTCTTCGATCTTATAAAGCACAAATAATATACCGACGGTCTTAAGTTGTACGGATCTTTTCCGAAGATGATCATAGGTATTGGTATGAGCAAAGCGGTGCGGTCATTTCGTGATGTTGGACGTGTCGTTCAGTGCTTGGAAGATAATCATCGGTATACTTTGAATAAGTGCTGCGTGGGGGTAGTTAAATTAATAGAAGATCTTCTCATAATCACAACTGCCATTTCGGGTTCTTATGATCACCTTAGACAACTTAGTTAGCAAAATTAGACGCGCGTTTTTTCTTTTTTTTTTTTTTTTTTTTTTTTATAGTATTATTTAACTATTATTAGGAGTTCTGAATTTTGCAATAATACATGTTCTTAAAAGTACAATTTTTCTGAAGCGTACACAGTGCTGTGAAATCTGGTGGGCTGATCTAAATGACGCGTCAACACTGTTAAGCGTATACATCCAACTTTACTCGGCGCTTGACGCGAATATTCCGTACAGCTAAAGAGCCTATAGCCCTCGTCCTGATTTCCGTACGACATGACAGTGTAAATTCAGCAGTAAATTAATGATCTGACACTGAAATCTAGAGAATTAGTAGAAATTGACACTGAAAATATTTTCACCCATGCCCCCCCCCTCTCCTCTCCTCTCCCTAGTCGTGTGTGCCTTGACTTGAACGATGTCGCAGAAAAACAGCTATGGGCTTTCAAGTTGAAGATCATCCACGATCTAAACAAAAGTTGCTCGAATGATTCAGGCATGTTCTGCGGAACGATAGGTGGCGCATCTCAGTACGTACGGCAAGCTATATATGTCCTTCGAGTTACTGCATTAGTTAATGAAGATGCAGTGGACTTGACGTTTGCTTTCAAAGAACCCTTCAGTTTTCTATAGGAACTTACTTAATGCCGAAAGCTGCGCTTGAGTTGATGCATACGTATGCATAATTTACTATTTACTGCAGGATCGGCAATACGAATTACTAAGTCATAAGTAACGTGGATGAAAGTTGAAGGGCGGCTTGTGTGTACCGATAAAGCTGGCCTCCTGAGGCTCACAGAGGGTTGACACTTGCAAGACTGTGTGAGGAGCTTATATTGCATCGGCATATATGCACCTAAATTGAAAAGCAAACGTACATGCTTGTACATATAGTTGACTATTGCAGCTCTCCATCAAACGAGATGATGACACTTCATTATTATGTTTGTGTGACATCACATGATGACCCTATGCAATATCATATGCGGTTCTAGCAAATATACGAGAAAGAGCGGCAAAGGTCATTGGAATATTATAGTCGGAAAAGATGCCCAACAGCTTGCTAGCATCTATCACCTGTTGAAAGGCCTGAGTCCTAAAACTGTAAAATTAGTTTATAACGGTTAATTAATCGCCATGTTAATATTGACGCTAATCTTTTCATTCGGATATTGTTACTAGCCAAGCTTTTAGTAGGTAAGTTGTAGTGAGTTGTTGAAGGTCGAAAGATTTCTGTGCTTAGGAAGATCTTACGGTGGCCGAGGTAGCGAGTCGTATGAACTTCTAAGGTGAAGGCTCCACTACCAAAAACACCGTAAACTTCGGTACAGAAATTTCCGGGAAGGAAACTTCAAGTCTCTTGGAAAATCCGCTGCGAAAGTAATAACAAAAACTTGGAAGCTGTTATAGAAGCCAAGCTATTTTAATGTACATAAATATTAGCTATAGGTTTGATGCATATAAAAATTGTTCATCTCAATAAACATTGGGTACCGCATGATTTGAGCAGGCATCAAAGACGGAAACGTAAAAACGTATGCTTATGTCTGCTTTTACACTACAAAAGTGACACGTTCTCGCAGCAAATTGCAACGCAGCACCGGAGAAGCGCAGACTCCGACATCATTCGGTAGACGCTATTGAAGCAACAATATATTATTCTAAACAGATAGAAAGAGCTATCGTGCTTATAGGTCGTAAGTATGTTTACTAAGTTCTGATTCGTCGATCATGGCTGATACGTGGGTATCGACGATTGGAGGAGACGATGAAAAGACTCCATATTAAGCAGCGAAGATTAAACGTATATATAGTACGACCCTACTCGACCAGCTCACACTGCACAAATCACAATGGCAGAATGCAAAAAAAGGTCATCAACAGCGGCTGGATAAAAAATTGATTTTTAATGAAACATAAATTATCTGTACTGAGTTGAAAGATAGCTTTTGAGTCCGTCTGTCAAATAACAAAAACTAATGCTATCTATGCATAACAAAATGATTATTAGTATAGCGTTAATTTGGAAAGTACCCGAATTCTTTGCAAAAAAAATGCTTTTTTGATTTGTCCCTGTTATTTAAATGAAAAAAAAAAAAAAACAAACCTGAGTTCTGCGTGCATGGCTTTTACCTATGCTACCTATGGCGCATATAAAGAGTGTGCTTTGCTTTTATGGTTAATGCATCAGTACTGATTTTATAATTTAGGGTACAAATAGGCTGAATAACAGGCGTAGACGACCTTTTTTCAACAGAACAATTTTTATTACTACTAATGGTAGTACGTTTTTATTTAACACATGTTTATGACATAATACGATTGGTAAGCGTTTGTTTTTATAAAAACACGAAAATAGCCAAATAACCACAATATTAAAGCTAACGATTCTAACAAAGCTAGTAAGGGGTTTCAATGACTATCGGCCAGCCCAGGATGCGCACAAATCTGTAATTAATCGCGGCAAGCAGATTTTATTCAACGCACTGGCGGACATGATAAACAATTCCAACAAACCAACCACTCTAAACGATACGAGTTCTTTGATTTTTTTTTTTTTTTTTTGCTCCTTTCCATGGAAATTTTACCCGCTACGCAAATATCAGGTCTTTATTTCAATATAACCATACAGTTATTTAATTGACATGTCGACCCTTAGCAAAGTTATGGTTGACGAAGCGGGACATAGTTTGCGGTTCATCGTAGGCCGTTCCGTCCAGCTATTTGCAGTTGGTCTGATCCGTAGGCATCAAAAAGTAAGATGCATAGGTTTTTCCACGGAGACGATCTATAAGAGACTTCTTCATTGACGGATCCAAAGTTTTGGTACGCGATAAGATCCATATATTTTCTGCAAAAGGATGCTAGTTGCTAGTTAGGGAGCTCCCTATAGATTTGCTTGCGTATTTTAACAATTACTTGGGCTATGGACAACTCGCACCTACAGATTCCTATGAATTTCAACTAGCAGACTGCTAGACGGTTGTGTTATTACTCTGCCAAATAACTGTCTTAATTGGACAAAGAGTAAAAAAGTGTCTATTCGAGAATCGATCGTCGATCGAACTTGATTGATAATTCGTTATAAATAGATTTATCTGGCGTTGCTACAATGATAAACACTATATATTTCTATTCTTCTATATTTAATTGATCTCGAATTTAACGAGCATCCTCTTCCCCTGGTTCGAATAAAAGCTAAACGAATACAGGTACTAGAAAAAAAAAACGCATTTTGCCGCTTTCGTTACCTCGGCGCATAAGTCCGTTAATAAGATTACTCTGACAGGCCCACAGGATGGCATAATTAGTGTAGTCCGTATCAATCACGTACGCTGGAGACCTGTATTCGAAGCTCGCTAAATGGACACATTCACAGAGATACAATGGAAATAAGCAATGAATCGTTAAAATGAAAAGAGCAGAAGACGGTAACTATAAGAAAACTAATAGCGGAACTACAAAAAAAAAATGTCCATATAGCTACTGTCCATTGTTCGTGAAGCTGAAACAAAGGACACTACAATTGTTCCTTGAGCAAACCAGAATATCATTCTGTTACAGAAAGAACTGTGAGCAAAAAAAAAAATCGGTTTATTATATGTAAATCGTACACGGGACATATTTAAATAATGTTCAGACTTCAATGTTCAATTTTTCATGCCTATGTTGCAATCTGTCAATGGCTCACCCTACGCTGTATTGTAATCCCCTTTTTGTACCTGGAAATGATATTTTTATGGCTGCTCAAAAGGAATTCTCAGGAGAGTAAACATCACGAATGTTTTGTCATCCATTCAGCTATTGATCAACGAAAAACTGGATTAGACTGTAAAAACTGCGAGGGCCCTAATCTGTGGCAAGCCGGGTTGGTCATGGCCTTGACAACCGAGCGGTTTATATTTCCTGATTTGCAGAAAATTAGCCAATCTTTGGCAAAAAATTAAACAGCTAACCGCAACGATATTCGACGCAGTTTAAGGTTGCAGAGAACAACGTCCTTTATTAAGTTCGGATCGTATTTTTCGTTTCACAACAATTTTATTTCGAGAATTAGGAGCTATTTTATAGCTAGCAGAGAATCCTGAGTAGACAGCTATGGGATGCAAAGGTAAGAGCCCTATCATTGCCAGGTAGGTTCCTGGTATGCCTTGGCTTTTTTGTGCAGAAACTAAAACGTTTCGGTACTATCATCTTCGTTGACAGCCTTATCCACAGTTACCTCGAATCTCTTTGCCGAATTGGGCCTTTCTTGGAATTAGAGATGTTAAAATGTATTCTGAATCTCAATTAACCATTCGTGCAAAATTGAGCAGAGTTACGTGCAAAGGTAATGTCGTTTAACTGCTAATGTCATGCAACCTAAAAGCCTAGAAGTAGATAGTTTCTAACCTGGTAATTTTGCATCTGTCGAAGAGATCAACTCGATCGGCCGACTCATTTTTTTAGTATTTATCACAACTTTTATTAAAGCACAGTCGATAAAAGCCGCTTGTTTATTAATATCTTGTGCTTCGTTTAGAATGGCCGAAATGTTTTTCCCGGTGGCCTGCACTCAACCGATGGTAAATCACGTTGAGCAAATTCTCACGCCCACATAAGCAGTCTATGTCAAGGTATCTCCGACACGGGGGATCCTTCCAAGAGAACGTGTCCGAAGTGGAAAACAAGGCGATATTGCTATGTTCGCATTGAGTTCGACGGGCTTATCGTGGCGACTCAACCCTCTAGGGAAGAGTTCCAGCTTCAGCCTGTGAGTATCCAGAGACTATATATCGTAATCGGGTAAGCAGTAGAGTTCGGGCATTCGGTCAACCTCGTAAATTGATGGCCTCCTCCGCCGCAGCACGGCAGTCCCAACACGACCAAGGGCACCAGCAGCAGTAATGCTACTTGTGTTGGTTAGAAGGGTGAAAATATCGGCGGCGGCGGAGATCTCTTTTTGCAGGAGGCCCTCAGAAGACACTCATCACCATGACCGACGCTGCCGCCGTCATCAGCATCACCATCATCGCTTGTTCTATTTTCGCCCAGACGCGACAGTCGACTACGGACTAGAGAACAACGTGTCTCTAACCTCGCCGCTCGTTCAGCCAGGCCTGATTTGAAAACAGGCCGACCGGTCTAAAATACGGGATGTTAGGAAAAGGGAAAACAGACCTAAGAAGGTGTAAGGAAGGTTGAAGCACACAGGGCAGTCGATGGAACTAGTGGCGAAGGCAGTCTTGGTGATACTGATCGTAGTTGTTAAACGAGTGCCGGCTGCCGCCTTGTCACGAGTGCGAGGGTGGACCCTGGTATTATTCCCTTCTGATCAACAAGCTCGTCACTCCGCATTGACCACTATGCCCTTGTCGGGGGGAACAATATACCTTAGGTTGTATTTTTGTCGTTATATTTAATGCTGCTAGCTGTTGCCTTTCCTCGATCCATTGAATCGTATTTTTGGCCTTTAAAAAGGGAAAATGCTGTTAGCGATGGGTTGTGAGAAAATTCGACAGGTTTACCAAACTGGTGTTTGAACGTATACGAACATTTATCAATCGATGCAGGTAATTCTTTTGATTAAATTTTAGATCTGTGTTTGCAATTTCGTTTATTGGTCGATAGTTCTTAGGCTTCCTACATAAACAATATTCTTCGAAACAGAAATGTGTTCGAAGCGCAGGCTGAAAATCTCAAGTTGTCTTATGTACCTTAGCAATGTTATCAATACGATAAAACTTGCTTAAAAACTGTAAATTGCTACTATTAAGAATATGAGATTCCCCCAACTCTTGCATTACCATTCTACTTGTACTGCTACAATCAAGCTTAGTTACTTAAACTACGCAAATTTCGGTCCTGAAATGACGCCTTTGACGCCTTAACAATTAGACCCCTCACCTAATTGTGACTTAAAAAGTTAACCTCCATTAATACTTGGTTATCTCCTATAGTTAAGCTCTGAATGTAGGTAGGATCAGCTCAATGCATTTAACAACTGTTGATGCAATATAAAAATCTCAGTGGAAAAAAAATTGAACCTCTTAAATGACTTTCAGGAAGGTCCTCCGAGAGAACATGGAACCTGCAGCCAGCATGTATCGCATCACTATAACAAAAACAGCTATGCGTAATTATAATGTTAATTACTCGGAAAGACGTATCTACCAGTCGCTTATTCTTCCTTTGCAGCTACCCTTTTTAGTAACAAACACTAAATGATAATTTGAATGCTCATCGGCCATAAGCAACTCTTACTGGTAATGTTCTTCACCGCAGACAAACGTCTAAAGACATAATGCGATTATTAACGCCGGTCAACTACAAATGCAGACGACGCACCAATCTGTAATAACGGAAAGTTCGTTATAACGTTTGCGTCCGAGGGAGAATCAGTTATATGCCGCTCGCTGCTTCCCAGGCTGCCACCGAAGTTACCAATGGTAGACGTATGGTAACGTCAACGGAACGCGTTACCACCGGCATGACTAACCGCAAAGTACTCGAGTGGCTATCGAGCGATAGTTGTCGAGTGCTGCTGATATGTGTATTGTACATAGGGCGTTGAGTGCTTCACCACCCGCCAACGGCTCCGAGGCGCCCTTACGTCGTCGTTCCCGGCTGCCCGGTGTCAATCGTCATTGGCATTATCACGCTTGTAACAGCGCTGCAATTTGTTCGTATTACGACTAATAACAACGTTAGCTGCAACGCTTATAGTAGCAGCGGCAGGTGCAACAACATTTGTATTTTTAACAACAAGCATTTTTTGTCCTGTCGAAAGGACCCAACATAAACAATTCTTGGAAGATAAAATAGCCATTGCCTCAGTGTTAATGGCGGAGCTAGTTTCTTACATTCAGGGAACGAATCAGGAGCCGTCCGTCAGTCACTATTTCTAGTAGCACGACCTATAGCCTAAAGAAATAGCTAATGTTAGCAAAAACAGCGGCGACAGCAGCAGGAGCAGAGGGCCTATGGCAATTCTAGGCAGCTACATACACACACATCCACCCAGACACAAATGGAAAGAGAAACAGGCCATAGCACGAATCTACAAGCGTTGCCTCTACCGTAGTCGCATTACCGTGCTACGGATATTGCCTCTACCGCCGTTGCGCAGTTGTCGTCGTCGCTATCACTGGGGCCTGTCGCTCGTTGCCCAACGTGATATTCATCGAGTAGACACCATGGATATCCACGATATACAGACCGACACGTCTCAATACAGTAATAACAGTAAGATAAAGAGCCGCGCCGAGATACTACATAGATTGTATATAGGCCGAGCATATGGCCATACCAGGTTGCTCATAATAAGGTATATATATATAAGAAATAGTGGTCGCGTTGTGACTGTGGTGGTAAAAGATGAAACGCCGGAAATAGGAGAAGGGGGCGCACGCCGCGGGTCCAGACACATACATCGGCCGCGACGTGTCTACCCTGTTACTGCCGCTGTCCGACGACGACTATCTGCAGTCGGTTTGTTCGTTGTGCGCCCGTTACAGAACTACTATGACAAGCCAGCGGTGAACCCGTCGCAATCAGCCAGCCAGCCAGCCAGCCAGCCAGCCAGTAAGTGAGCGAGTCAATAAGTCAGCCGGCCAAACAGGCGTCAGGCGACCCAGGCACAAGCTATTCGTGTAGCCATCGTTGAACCAACTGCCACTCTTTGGCCAAGAACGGACATCGAGGAACTACTACCGCCGTTAGAACTGCGCTCCTGCGGCTAGCAGTACTGCATCCGCCGGCAGTGCCGCAGTCATATCGCAGTGCTGCCTCCAATAACGCTGGAAGAAAAGCGCGCAGAAACATCAACGTATTTTAGCTGAACAGCAACGAGCGTAGCAGTAAACGGAAACATCTCAATAGTAGAAAGTCGTGCGCTAGAGACCTTTGCTAGGACCTATCATGCAGAATACTCGGTGTTTACGGGTACTGCCGACTTTTTCGGTGCTCGCTTAAACGAAGAATGAGGAAGTCGTCGTTATTGCTGAACAATAGACAAACAGCAATAATTGCTGTAACGACACCTAGAACAAGAAAAGGGGCCAGCATTGCTCAAGTAAACGCGATTTGATAAGGACAACATCGTTCTCTAATAGACACTTGCAGTGCTCCGACAGTCCTCGATTTCCGTCGGCAGGCATCCCGTGCCTATTTATAGGACATGTCCACAGTCGCAAGATACGCGCCTCTGCTCGTTCGTCGTAAATGCTAATTGTTTCTGTGTTGTGCTAATTCTGTACCAAGTCGGATAGACATAGCAATAGTTAAATATTTGACAAGGGCAAGACACGAGGCTTCTGCAACTGACCATTGCGAACAGCCGGAGACTTCCGGTCGAAACCAGAAAAATCATATTACTCGAGCTTTCGTCCACATTGAGGATCTACTATTTATTGTTGAGTGACCGTTCCATCTATTGTGACTGTATCAAAGCGGCAACGGTGCAGGGGAAGATAGGCTATCACTAACATTATTTGTTGTATTATTCAATGAGTTCAGCATTTATTTTCTGCTAGTGCCCGTAGCTGACCGCCTGCCCACCTGCTTCCAGAGCCTGAACGAATACTACCTAATACATGTTCTTGGTGTAACGGCCAATCATGGCGAGATGTGATGATCTCTGAGAATGACGCGCACAACTATTCGAACAATCAATCGTTGCTGTTTCTCTTTGCACATGCAAAGACTTTTCGGTAGTGGTGTTGCAGTCGCGTTTTGCCACTGTCCCAGTTAAAGTGGTACAAACAGATGGGGCAGGTTGCGGTTATTACGTTTGCCGTTGAGCGATGCTGTAAGAGGCAGGGTGTTGTCGACCCCCGTGGTAACTGAACTGTTTATCCTCGTAGCTTGGCTGGACAAGATACTTAGCGTAGTCGAATATGGTCGTATGTAGCGAAATCCAACAAAGTACAATATACATATCGGCTCGGTCAGTGCCGTAACTGTTTCACCGATTCACCCTAGCAGCATTATAGACGGAGCGAAGTGACCAGCAGTCATTTAGTAGTTAGCTGTTATTAATGCTGGTTTTACTGGATGGGGCCGGCAAACACTTTGGTCCTTCTTGCTTCCCAGAAATAGAGAAGTTACTGCTAGTTTAGATGTATGTATGTGTGCATGCATGTACGTAAGAAGTAGACGACAAACGAACGCCAATGGGCAGGCGGACGTTTCGATCGTTCGTTTGCTTGCTAACAGCTGGTTGTCTCGGGGCCGCGGCCGTCGACTTTGTTCATTCAATAGTTCTCTCAGTACTACTTATTGTCCATATCGTTATTGCCGTTGTTGTTGTTCCCCCGCGAAATGCTGAAGGCTAACTAATCCTTTTCTAGGCCATATTTCTTCTCCACATTGGCTGCAGTGATCATTGCTGCGGTCACACTCATCGCTATAGCTGCTCCCTAGAAAAGCATTATGACGCCGTCAGGCTTTTGGCCTAAGGTTGTTTCTAGAAGATAGTTAGTTGGTAGCTAAGCAAATAATTCGAACAGAAAAACGCCAGCAACGGCGTCATGGTGTATTGAGCGTCTGTAATTTTGATATTCGACCTCGAGCGGATGCCCTGCATGCGACCAATGTATAGACATGTAACTTTGCTACCACTTCAGTAGCTATTATTGCGAGCGTGTTTTTGTGGGTGCGTTAGCGAGTGAACTCGTGTGTCTGTGCGGATGCCAGTGTCTGCCGTTTTTCCTTTAATATATATATATAATCTATCTGATGATGTGTGTGGTAAGCGTACGTGTGTGATGCTTTATCGTTCGTGTGGAGTGTCGCTACGTCCGTGCGACTGTAGAGCGTCCAGTTTCGAAGCGGATAGCGTCGGTTCGTATTCAATGCCTATAGCCCATTTGCGAAATTTCAGGTGGCGAGCATCTCGTTCACGATCTGACTAAAACCTTGTAGGCGGATCAGGTCCGCTCTGCGCCGCGCCGCCAGGGCACTAAAGAAACTTGTGCCGAAGCGGCCAATAGTGGGGAACTCTACACGAAGTACTGTTGCGGCAACAGCATCGGCAATGACAATCGAGGATATCAGCGAACACGGAGCCAACATCGGCAGGTTTCAACAAAGCAAGTGAACTGTGAACAGCAAGAGAGGAATATCGTTACCAACACAGCCGTCGCAACGGTAGAAGCGTTTGAAAAACGTGTCGGTGGCAGGTTGGATCGGTCACGCTTAGACAGTGAATGGTCGACCGCCTAATCGTTGGATCCTAAGCGACGAACTAGACGATAGCTGCTGTTGCTGCGGCAGCGACTGGCTGAGAATTGTACCCACGTATTGTGTACCAGAACAATAAACAGTCAAAGGGTGCCAAAATATGAATGCTTTGTGCGCGCCACAGTGGAATACTCGCGACCGTAAGGCAGGCGTACATACATAAATACCTAGCATAATGCGCTACGAGAAACCAAATTAGATCAAGCAAAAAGATAGAACGTTTCGGTTATCCTGCAAGTGGTCTGTCTCGTACTCTCCCTGTCTATCCGATATAGGTGTATCTATGGGGCCGTATGTAACGGTGTTATTAGTATCAACATTCCGTTCCACCCTGTGGTGAACGTAAACTACAAATTGACTTGCATAATTGGCCTTGCACTGTCGCCTGTTCCTGCACTTTCCTGAACGATTATCGCTGAACGGTCGAGCAAGGCGCTTAGCCTGCGAGTTGCTCTCCATCCAGGAGTCACGGGCGGCCTAAAGGCTACCGACTGCCATCGACCTACAAGCGGCGCACGGTATATTGCGACAAGGACAAAGTCTCGATTGGCAGCTAAAGGAAATCACGCCTGCGTAGTCGAAGCAACGATACGATATGAAGCCCGCTGCAGCATTTTCCAGTCAGAACTCTGTGGACAAGGGCAATTCAGCATTGCCAAAACAAGCCGTAAAGGAGAATCCAAACTGCAACAATGAATCTGCTGAGGGCGAAATTAAAGGGGCAGGGCAGGCCAGTATTCAAACCAGCAGTGTTTGCACCGATCCACCAGCGCCCGCTGCAGAGGCTGAATTTAATGGCGGCCTTCCGGCCGATAGTGCTCAACTTGGTGAAACCAGTACAGCTCGTGAGCCCCGAAGAACTCGTAAAAATGGACTTAGTCAGGGACTCCGCGAAAAGTTAGTACCTACACACGCCATACGTGATCATACTAGGATGGGGGTTTTTCAGAGACAATAAATCTATTTCTTGTCGAGATTTTCTTCGAAGGCCTAAAACGATAGAGCGAAATCATTCATTACCAAGCAGATCGCAATGTTTCCCAACAGTGTATTTTTAACGGCGGTGCGGTTGCGATAGCACGCATATCAGTATGAAATATCCACCCACAAACGTGCACAGCTTAGCAGTGAGACCATTCAAAAAATGAAACATTTGAACTAGTGGATGATACAGATCGCAATTGCTTCAACAACTTGAAAAGTAAGTGTCGAAAATATCGTTTGTAAATTAGAAAAATGCCGGTCACAGTGCCCCGTTTGAATTGGTAATTACATTGTTTCAGATCAGGCTTTCGAGGTAATCTTTTTCCTATTTCGAGATACAATAGCACTGCGCTTGTCTAGAAGACGACACGCGAGCCCTGTAGATTCACACAGGATTACGCGCGTGACTCGTTTCGCGGGGTTCTGTGGAACCTGGTGGGTTTACACTATACAGCTACTCAAACAGATCCCAATGTATAGTAGCAGATGATTTAGCAGTGAAGTTTGTATAACACTGGCTGGATTGTGCTGTTTTTACATGCGAACAATGCTTTTCTGCCGAGCAATCGCCCTTTTCCCAATCTAAATTTAGTTGAAAAGTGGACCTTTCAGCGATGTCAATCTATAGCATTAAACGAGGATCCTTTGTTGCTGCTACTGCTGGCCTAGCGATCTATACGTCCGTATCAATCGAATATGGTGTATCCTATGTTTTGGCTCGGTAGAGTATTTGCAGTAACTACATTGCAAATGTTAGACGCTCGGGTAAGTCTTTGATGTCGACGGCAATAGCTCGACCAAGGGCGTCGTTAGCAAAAGATTTCTGATTACTTAGTACCCAATGTCTCATGCTATCTGATGAAATGAAATTGGTGTTTGAAAGCTCGCCACGTAGCATCACGACCTCTGTCCCTACTTTAATATTGTGTCACAACTTTTGTCATTCGCGGAGTGAACCTACCGACCTTGATAAGTGTTTAATGTATTAGTTCGCATGATTAGGAACCTTACGTACGTATCACGATCACCGAGTCGACTATTTAGGTTTCTGTGGCCGCTTGTACATATCTGTCTCACTGTCTTATGGTGACTGACTCAATGGTGATTAGCATCGCTACCCTTACGTATGCTAGCGCTACCAATTACTGGTGTGCCAGCCTAGCCTGGTCGCCTAAAAATGCGTGGCAAGATATGATTAGGTAGGAAAATAGGATAACGGCCTAAAGGTGTTGAAGGCGCTAAAACGTAACAGTAAACAAATGAGCAGTTAGCGTTGCTTGGTCCATACTGGAAGGGATCGAGCAGTCGGAAACGCGAGGTAATTGTGATAGCGGCTGTGAAATTCAATAAAATAATTCGAAGACTAACATTGACAAGCTGAGGCGCGGAACAAACTGATTTTAGGGAGGAAAACACGTTATTTGCGGAGCTACAGGACACCACTCACATATTAATTGCCAATATTGGGAATTAATTGACAATATTGGGTATTTTTTTGCCTTATCTTAAACAGTCTCTCTCTTAATTCGTTTTCTGGGAAGATACGCCGCGCTAGCAACGCGGACGGGGCAGATGAATGCTCCTCCTGGACCAGGCGCCTAACTTAGTAACGGAGGACCTCAAATGACGAACAGAATAATACTTGTCCTTTAATCATGGGCTTAAGTTATATCCCTATGGGATAAGCTCTATGGGGTCAATGCTGACAATATACGCCTTATCTGTCGGTACGGTGCTTCGATTTGTGGCTTAGTTTATATCAGTTAGACGTTTTTCGACATGTTTTAGTTCCCCGGTTTTCTTGGCAGCCATTGAAAGTGCGGTTCTCAATAATAATGTCCAGCTAAAACTACAGCTGACCTGTTGTCTATGTGTGATCCATTCAATTACGACAAATGGGTGCTCATTTTTCAACAACAGATATCACTACATCGGGCGCGGCTCTATCCAAAGTCGCAAATATTGCCTACCATGGACTCTATTTCGCATAAGTATTTAGTGATATCATAAGGTTTCTTTTATAAAGTACTCTTATGCACTTCTTAGTACAGAACAATCAATCTTCTCAGAAAACTACATGCTTCTTTAAGGATTATGTTCGTGATCCGTCTATCATGCGGAACCTGGTAAACTTGCCACGTTTACGACACGGAAAATTTTATGTACGGAAGCTTCTATATGCATTTAGAGTAATGTTGAAAACATTCGTTTTATACTGAGATAAAAACTACCCCAACGTTCCTAGTAATTACGAAATTAAGGAAGAACATTCCTAATCGGCATATGGATCGGTAGCACAGAGAGCACAACTTGAGAGCGTCCAGCTGCCAGATCCACTTTGTTAATTAAAGTAATCATTTACTTAAGGAACTACTCTTTCATTCTAATCAAGTTATTGATTTACCCGCTTGTTACTTTTCGATGAACTTCGGACGTCGCTTGTCCAGCAAGTTGAATTTTTGACCGTCAAAAACAGAACTCCTGCCTAGTTTTTCCGCTTCAACCTGGTCTGTTTGAGACGCATGGAAACAGTGCAGTAGGCTTCTACGGGCACCTAGATACGCAAAATGACTGTATCGAGATCAAGCGCAACATTTAACTATACATTTAGGTATGAGCCGGCGTCAATTAAGTTTGAGTTCGTTATGTGTACAATGATCCAATTTCCCTCTATCACTATTACATGAGGTACTCGAAGAGATTACGTGTACTTAGGATTCAGAGTCGTAGGATAATGTTATTAACAAAAACGCTGTAGCCGTAATACCAATACGCTAATTAGGAAAAACAAGGGTTTCAAATCGATTTCAGTATTGTGAAAGAGATCGAAGTGGTTGATATTTGCTACCACGTACTAATACTCGCTAGCCCGTCATCTGCCTAGTGTTGTTTTCTACTACGATCTTAAGATGTGTAAATAAATATAATAAATAAAGTAAATAGATTAGAAAACAAATATCCTAGAGGGGCAGTAAACATGATCTGATTTTTAGAAGAGCGTTTTGTTCAAGCGTCTAAGACCGCGATTAAACGGGAATACGATATATAAACAACATAGAAACAGCCCATGCTGTTTGTTGCGGTCTTGATAAATAACACCGACAATATTTAGCTGTGTTTTTGTTTTGTTTTCATCTAAATAGTCGCTAAGGTTCAGTCAAATACTATATCAATGAAAATCGGTCCGTTCTCGAAGTGTCTGCAAAATGGATTCTTGATACCAGTTCATTATGCCCGGTGTGGCCTTCTCGTAAGGGATGCTTGAATCAACATGGCGATCACTCAGCTTGAGGCGTTCTCGAAAAGGAACAGGGAAGCGCAAATGATCGCAGTCGTAGCACGGGTGGATTAGTAATATTCGTTTGGAGATCTGCGTGAATCAGCAGTATTACTAGAGAAGAATATATTTCTCTTTTAACGCCGAAATGAGTATGGCCAAATGGTAAGACCTTTGAAATTCAGCGTCGTGTCGAAGTGACGACGTCTAACAGACTCCAGCCATCGAGAAAACTCTTGCGGATTTAGTTCTAGCGGATGTGCGGCAACAGCTGAGAGGTGGGTGTCGTTCGTACGAAAGTGCGCAGCGCTTGTCGGTTTGATAGACGCGTAAATCTACCATTCGACACGGAACGGGACGAAGAGACTGCTCGAGCGGACAACTATATCAGTTACTTGGAAATCTAACAAGGATATGCCCTTTGTGCAGTTGCAGCGAATTCAAAATCATGCTGTTATTAAATGGAACTATTAAAGCTTGTGAGTTTCTCAATCGTATCGTTACTTTACAACGAATGGTTCGATAGAGACAGAGAGAAGAAAAACAGTGGCTAGTGAAACGGTATTATAATGGATGATAGATGTTAGCGCGCAAATGTTTGCTGGCGGAATGCCGCGAGAGATGCCCCCCCCCCATCCCACCCCACCCCCCGCCCCTTATGCGGCCTATTCACTCCCCTCACTAGGGGACGACATCGTTTCGCAATCGGTGCCATTCACCCCAGAGTTAGCAAACAGTGCACAACACAATAGACAGTCGTTCTTGGGAACAGCATCGTTCGACCCAGCTAGACGATTCCTCAGGTGATCCAGATACTGCTTCGGGCTGGTTAGAACAGGTCTAGTTGGCTAGAAGCGCTGGTCGGTGGATTGATGGGTTAACGTTGTCGGTAGTGGGAGGGAAGCTGCGTGGTTCAGCTAGACAGTGGCACGAGGGACATTGTTTGAAGCTTGGGGACTACGAAGGGTGGAAATTATCTTTCCTTCAGCTATGAAAACGCGCGAACAGGTGCTTTGGGAAGACTTCCGAGCATGTAAACAACTCACGAACGAATCTTCGGATAGATACGCCCGCCGCAAGAAAGATTTGGCTAAGCAGTTACTGATACAGGTAATGAACATAATGGAGATTAAAGAACGCATTCTAGTCGGATTGTAGCAAAATTTTCGTGGCATTGCTCAGACGCTGGCGGCCAAACATCACGAGCCGACTTCGGCTTTAATTTTTGACATGGTTAATTCTTATCCAGAGAATAACTACCAACAGGATCCTAGTCAAAATTGCAATGACCGTAGATCATCAAAGCTTAGCAAGGTCGTCGTCTTGACAGACACCAATGTAAAGAACAGCAACTTTGGTTATAGTGGACGCGAACGTTCGTAAAAATCGTCTGAAAATCACTCAACGGGCTGATCATCACAACGGGACAAGGCCTAGCAACAACAGAAACAACCACAGCAATGACAGTCGCCGATACTTCCAGAAATACTTATCACAACAACGACCGTTAGAAAGGATAACGACGGCAGCAGCAGCAAGAGTCGAAACACGAGGTCGGGGGTAGCAATAACAACATCGAAAACTCTTCCGGTGCAAGTGATCGATGCTCAGGAACATCGTCTCCGTCGAGGGTTTAGTGAGACGTAACGGTTATGGACATATCACGCATAATTTAGAAACATTTAGCTAGGATAGTATGTTTACGAGTGCTTAAGTGTGCGTTCGCGTGGGGCCAACGGTCTAAATCGAAATTCGTGGCTGTACTTCAACTACCGGACGTAATCAACGCAAATCTCTTGAAGAATGTTCGATAACTGTTATATAAATGTGAACTATAAAACGGTGTAAGTTATGGGTGGCGTCTTGCTACAGTTTAGGCCATTTTATATTATCGCATGAACCTTAACAATATATCGAGTTCTAGCTGTAATATCAACAGGTGTCCAGTGCTTCCCGTAAATTTTTAAGGTACAATTCAAACCTTTAAGGTGCACATTATTACAGCATCTGTTACAGCTGTTGTGTCCTTAGTTTTTTTAATTCGGGGTTTTCGAGCCGTAGATACATATGAATCTTTATCAGAATTCGGGTGGTCGATAGCAAATACGAACTTCCTATTTAAAACTGTTGCACTTACAATGGGATGATGGGTTTCATTTGTGGGCTTCGAGAGACTACGCGGATCCACAGTAATTCGAAGCGCTTGTACGAAAAAGTCAAAGCGCGAAGAGAAAATAAAGAAATATTTATTTTTAAAATACTCCTATGTGAGTGTATATAATAGCAATCTGTCGATGTCATTCAAACGGCAAACGGTAATTTAATTGTTTGCACATGATTTTTTTTTACAAATCTATTTTGTTAGACGTAAGTACCATTCTGGCTTCACTTGGTAGATGAACGAAATAATAATTCTCATTTCCAGTTCGCAACCTTACTTGCATAACATGTAATATCTATCAAGGATCAATATTTTTATCAAGGAATTTCTATTTGATTTGTTCCGTAGTTTCACGTACCATATTCTTAGGTTAATCGAAAAACGTATCGTAGATGTCGTGTTTTCAGTTAACGTATTTTCCCACTCATCGTTTTCTTCTTATGGTTTTTTCGCAGGGTCAAATCAAAATATCTGCCGAAAACCGCTAATCTGATGGTTCGATATAACAAGCTTGGTTCTCAGTTCGCAGACTTTTCCAACAATGTCGCGTTTCTCACTCGCTGCGCAAATATGATGATGGTACCCAAGTATGTCGAATTTTGACCGATATCGAGTTCCGTGAGCGTTTGTTTGTCTATGTATTTTGCATTTAACTTGAAATTTACTATGCATCAGTCGGTAGTTAGCTCTCAGGTAACAACGAACCTCGTTGCCCTCGTGATGTAAACACTTATCGAGCCGTATTCAGACATAACAATAAGTAAGAAACTATTAAGCAAAAGCTTAACTTGAGTTCACGAAGCGTAACTTCTTCCTTGAGGTGCAGGTTCGTTTTAGAGGGAAAAGTTTAGAAGGAAAACATTGGAAGATTTAAAGGTAGCGTCTAGCCGCATACTTAACTCATTAAGAAAGAATCCCAGGTTAATATCTGCTGTGCCATTCTTAGCATCATGTCACTCATAATGTGCGTTAACTTGTTGTAGGTTAAGTTAATAAGGGCCGACGATAATAGGTCCTCCCTTAGCGCACGGAAGTTCAATTCAATTAAATTCAACTTCAGGGATAAGTTCAATTAAACTTATTGAACATTTGCTAAAATATCATAACTTCCCGCATATCTTTATACAACCAAACGCTTATCGCGTATCGATTTCTGTTTACCGAGCTATTTTTTTGCTCGTGTGCGTTGCTATTGGTTTTCTACCGGTATAAGGAGTCATCGCGTATACAATGATCACGTCCGAAACACCCGAGCAGTGGTACGCCTACTCGACCAATGCTCCTACCGAGTTATGATCGCCGATCTCGAGCACAATCGCCGTAGGAAATACCAGGTAAATCGTCGCCGCATCGAAAAAAAAACAAGAACGTTTCTTCAGTTTGCCACTGTAATATTCTATAATACACCCCAAGTGAAAATTGAAATACCCCAATGGTGACTATTCAGCGTTAGTAGCCCATCTGGACTATTACGATTTGAGGTTATGGTTTTATTTTTAGAAGGGGAGTATGCTTCTTGTTCAAGCATGTTCTAGTCGTAAAGCCGTAAATACAAATATACATCAACGAAATTCCATTGTCCTGACATAGCGAGGCAGGAACAGAAACTAGGATGTATTTGAGTTGTATACTCGGAATATCTAGCTTCGTTTATGTAAAAAGCTTGTAGGATTTGACCGGAATGGGCTTCTGAAGAGTTTGCATTAGCTAGGTTTTCACAGTCGCTACGTTTCTAGCTTTTCTTATTTAAAAAAAGACGTGGAAGAGGTTTCCTGACCAGCGTCTAATTTGCTTGCTGCGAATAACCTCCTATATAACTCAGTCTTAACTGTTCAATTGAAAGGTTATGAAGAATCGCGAACGCATCGAGATCCGACTGAAGGATATTATGTCTCCAGAGGACTTCGAAGAAGTGCGTAAAATATGTGACGAAAATCGCGAAGTTCACTTTACTGAAGTTAAGGAGCGCCAACGGAAGGAGTATCAGGATCTGCTTGACGAGTACAAAACCCACGAAACCAAGAAAACCAGGTCAGAGTTTGACTAAGGGAGAAAACGTCATGATGCTATATTGGGTAATCTCTAGCTCTGTCATCTAAGAGTCTGAAGACGCTTTACGGTTGATGAACTTGGCTATATTTAGTTAACTCTCTCATGTTTCGGCAAATACTTTATCTCATACCTGACAGCTCCTATAAATTATATCTCTTAACAAATGAACGGCGAGCACGAAACAAAGAGGAGTGAATCGTAGATATTTACTCACTGATTTGTGAATTGGGCGACGATACGTAGCATAAAAAGTTTTCGACAATTTACGTTTTACTCAACTTCATTAATTCAGTTACTTCGTTGTCCTAATAAAAGCCTGTAATGTGTGACGCCCCATTTAGTCTGTTAAATAATGCCAGAATATAGCAACCCAACTGAATGCGACGATGAGCGCACAAAGGTTCATCGTCGGCGGGCCAAAAAGTTAACGTGAAACAACTGATACGAGCGTACACTTTCAGAACATATGGTGCTAATGCTACCCCCTGCGACAAGCGGGCCGTCAGTGGCCAATAATTGTTTTTACACGGGACCCATATGGCGCTTACGGCCTAGACAATTTCGAGATCGTTCACTTCAGCGAAGTCCATTTGACTGCCAATTGTAATTGTGCCATATATACTTGGCTCTAGAGATTATGTAGCTATGTAGATTTCACCAGAATTATCCATCTACCTATTGACGTTTGAATGAGAATATCTCTTATATTCACGTATAGCCGCACGGGTGTCAATTAAGATTACTTATTTTCGCTAGAGACGGCAATGAGGCAGTTAATAACTGCAAGGTTTATTTAGTATCCAAAGGAAAGAAGCAGTATGTTGATTTTGGTTTTTCTAAACAAACGGACGAAAGTAGATGCGTGAACGCTAACTTTTTCAGTAAAACAGGGTTGACAAAGAATAGACATGAATGGAAACCGGTGTAGCAGGAAGTTGAGAAAGTAACAGACAACAGTAGACATACTTTTGTTATCTGAACTTACCTCTATACTATTGCTGACGTCGTTGTTTGATGCGCGTTTCGGTTGTATTACCGCTTTTTGAAATTCGATTTTATAAATAATCATCAGTTCTATCAATTTTGCAGAAACATTTGTCCCTTTTCGCTTAAGGGTAGAAATGTTTGTCCTCGTTTATATCTCATTACCCTTGTATAGGTGCTATTGTCTTTGTCGGTTAATCGATGCCATTGAGATCAACGAACATACAGGAGGGTACTGTCTCATTTCGCAGGGGCGTACATCAAAAATACCTAGTGAATATGTGGCAGCAGCGGGTGCGTAACTTCGAAACTATCAACCAGTCGAAAGCAGAATCTTTCCCACCAAGCAGGATTCGATTATATAGTCGCATCTTTGGTAAACCAAAAGCTAACGGTCTTAAGTTTTTGTTTGTCCGAACAAGAATGTGATTTTCGACTCTCAGTCACAAGTTTCTTTTTTTGTAAATACCTCTCTATTATCATACTAGATTTTGGCGTCAGATATCGGAAGCCCTCCTATTCATATTTGGTGTCTCATATTTTCACGTCAAATAATACAACAGAAACATCTGACCTGCCTGTAGAACTGCGGCTTTGACAACGCTCAAGTCCTTGCAAAAAAAAAAAATGCAGAAACCAGATTTCACAAACAAAAATGTGTACCATAACTGTCATGTTAATATAGCCTCGTTATAATGAGTTGTACAAACTATTAATTTTCATACTGCTTTCACATAGGTCTCCATGTTGCATCTTATCTATATGTCTTACGTCAGAAATTGCGTCACAGTTTCTTTTACTGACTTGAGTAACTTAGTTTTCTTCGGCAGATAGAACTCAAGACTAACAGAGGTCAGCGGCACACGAGAGCATACCTATTAGATTTGTTAGTAACAAAGGGAATTTCGAACGTGGTTGCGTGACGGTCCAAGGGGCTGGCATGGGCAGCATACGGGGAGAAGACTCCCGATAGAATGATACTCCTTGACGTGTTAAAAACAAGCAATAGAAAATGCGTGCTGTATATTCTCTTCTGAAGCAGATTCGTTTCTGAATATAATCTTAGATGAGGTATTCTCAAATGGTCACTACCTCATACGCGAAACTGGCAGCAATAGTGCCTTAGACCAGAAAACCTTCATTAGTTAGATGCCTGAGTCCGCGAACAAGTCTACAATTTCGGCGTCACTTCGTACCAGGTACAACGTTGGATATATTGGTGATTATTCGGCGGAACGGGAATGCGAGTCCAACCGTATTTGCATTAACTACAAGGTTAAATGTTATGAGAGCTTTAGTAGCCTCTTCCACATATCCAAGCGTAGTCCTTATGTTGCTGGTAGGCTGAAGATCTAAAAGCATGTACGTATCATCCGCATAAGCGATGGCCATCCATCGAGATTTTAGGCAGCATAAAACTTCACACAGACGGTGAACATGCATGACCCGGGAACCGACCCTCGGCTGTTTCAAACATCTACTTCCCTCGCGAGGACTCCACGCGTCTAGTCTTTTCTACCTGTCGTCTTCCAGAAAGGTATGCTTTGAAGCAGCCAATGGCTATCGGTGTGCAGATATTATAAACTTCGCAAGGAGACTGAATTAGTTAAACGGTTGAAGGTAGCCGCCACATCTAAAAATACCAAGGTAGCCTTGACCTGCTTCTTTTTAATGATTTCTGTGATTTTCTGTTAACGGTATGCAAATGCCACCTCAACTGACTCAAATTTTCGAACACTGAATTGAAGAGGTCAGGAAAATCGAATATCCTAACCATAAGATTTTCAAAAGTCTCGGACATCTGTTTCATAAGAGATATTGAATAGCATTTGCAGCCCAGGTAGGTTTAGCTTTTTTCTTGGCTAACAAGCATCTTTGCTAGTATTTTCCAATCTAATAGGAAAATACAAAACATTAGCAGCTCGACATCCTTATTCAGCTTTAATACTTTGTAGAACCATTCGAATCTGGAATAATTTAACCAATCGTTTGCCAAACCGATGCTCTATCACTATCTGAATGTCAAGAGAAGTCACCGTAACGGAGCCAATCGTCCCGAAGTGAAAGCTGTTCGGAGATGCTGGCCAGAGTCAAGGTCAAGCACAGACGTAAGAACCACTTGGAAGTCATCTCTACGAGACTCTCCGTTAAATATCCATAGCCTAAAATTATTGTCTCTGAATATTGCGAATCAATCCTTCCAAATACGTTCTCCTAGCAAGGCGCAAGGCTGTTCTGTATCCTCGAGGACCATTGCACTGAGCTGTTTTACATCACTGTGCAGCACCCTTCGATGTCATCTGTAGGCTTTATAAATATCGGATCTATAACCTGAACTCTTGACGTCAACCGCAGTGAAACGTCTATCGTACTCTATCAAACTGATCCTTTAGAATGCTTCAAAAGCCGAGCTTGCATCATAGAGTGGCAGCCAGCCAATATTCTGCGTTAGATTTTCAAACAAGATCACAAAAGGGCTGCCACGTAGCCGAAACATAACTGGCTTTTCAGAAAATCAGCTCGAAAAAAACGCTTTTTTCAGGCAAGATAACAACAAAATCATGGTAAAGGTGGAGGCCGATCATAGGAATGTCACAGCTATATAGCCGACTCAAGCTTTTGTAAATGGGCGAGTAATCTTGTTAATAACATCGCAATTATTTTCTTCACTCGAAAGACGACCAAGAAGATACACGTTCGGCTCACCGAACAGCATACAAAAAAGAGTAAAACATTAAAAAAAAAATCAAGCATGTTGCTACTGTCAACAAAATCACTGAGTTGACATTGTACTTTTCAAAGATGGATCACCTGAACATTATCACTACGGAGTTTTGTCATTGTCTGTACAACATGATTGCACAAAGATGGCCACCACGCCATCGCGACGTTTGGCTCACAGCCATAGGCGAAGAAGCTGAATGTAGAAATACTATTGGCTGGTATTATCTTCACTATGTCTTACAACCACTGTACCAGAGTTCAATCCTTCATCCGGCCCAGCCTCAATATGAATCACAGGAAAGCTAATCTTTTGGTAGATGTTACACAAAGCTTGACACTTTCCTATATTAATATAATTTAATAATAAATCTATTATAGTAAATTAGACAAATAGATGCTGATGTTGAATATAGCAGACATCAGCTATGAGGGCATCGAAAAGACCTTTTAGCAACTTCTGGATTCATTACTACTTCTAAATACTACTGCTACTACTACTACTACTATGGAGATACTACTACAAGAGCACTGAAAAATGGGCTTAAGTGTTTGTACGATGTCTTCTTGAGACGCCTGACAATTTTCAATTTAGGCTTTACGAGCGGAATTGATTCTGGTCGAATCTTTACCAGGAAGATTTACTCGGTAGTCTTCCGCTGGCATGCGACGCGTGATACAATACGATACGATACGCTATGCGCAGACGGACCAGCCCAGTTTCTTGAAGTAGCAGCTAGGGCTGCCAGATGAAGGATTTTCGACCACGTTAACACTGATTTTATTTAAATGCTCGGATTTTACTCTCTGAAGTGGTGGATACTTCATGGAGGCTTTCCATTTCTTAACTTCATGCGCTCGAGGTGACATAGCTGAATGAGCTTGATTACATACAATTGACACATTTAGATGCACTCTTACAATGTACAGCCATGTAACAAGATTGGCCACGGTTCTTACACACTGTTTTGATTCTGTATGCTACACCTATTTAACTCGTCTATTGACACCTACAGCAAAAGAATGACGTTCTAACACAGATGGTAACCTGGAGCTTTTCTCGCCATTTTGTGGAACTTCGGTGAACTCCAAAAAAATTTCGTCCGTCAGAGCTCGGCTCGACCTTATTTCTGTGTTTCCCTTAGAACTATAATTACCTTAAATCTGACTGATTAAAAAAAGACCGACAGGATCTCATGTTCCCTAGATCCCCTGCCTGCCTTAGTTGTATGTCAGTGTTCGACATTGTCTGATCACTGGAATATCATGAAATA